AAAGAATGAGTCACGCAGCCTCGCTTCACTTTAGATGAACTCTGGGCCTCTGCAAAGTGGGGTGACCTCTGTTTCTCCATCAGTGTCTGAAGATAACAACACTTGCAGGTTTATTGGAAAGACTGGTGGTGGAGTCTGTGTAGCAGTTAGCTAGTGTTGGGTAACAAACCACTTCTAAAGTTCGACGGCTTAAAACGCTGATAGTTTCTGCTGACTCACGCTTCTGTGGTTCCCCTGTGGGCACCTTGCTGCAGGACTGGCTCAGTCTGTTCCACCTGTGTTGGTTCCTGGGGGCAGCAGCTGCCCGGGGAAGGCTCTTCCTACGGTGAGGGCAGGGGTGCCAAGAGAGCAGGCAGAAGCAGGTGATGGCACGTCACCCCTCCTGCTGACATCTGTGGGCGAAAGCAATAGCCTAGCCCGAAGTCCAGGGACAAGGATATACACTCCACCCACGGCAGGAGCAGCAGCAAAGCCGTCCAGCAAAGGGCATGGATACAGAGAAGGCGGCTAGTCCCCCCTACCGCAGCCATCAGGTGGCCTGGCACATCGTGGTGGTAACTTCTGCCACCGTGGTTGTCATTATTACTGCTCAAAGTAGGCAAGTCAAAGGAGAAAGCGAGTCTCTGAAAGAAGCTAGAAAGTTTCGTGCTGGAAGTGTGTTCAGTGAAATCGGTTTCAATGGAAATCTGACAGCGTTAACAAATGTGCTTTTTGTCCACTTCTTTGACTCAGGTGCCTGGGACGTGGTGGGTGCTCAGTAACTATGTGGTGATGACTGATGGGGTGCAGCCTGGGAGAGCAGAGAAAGTACTGCTCGCCCCACTCCTCGCCCCACTCCTCACCCTGCATTTCTCAGTACTGGTCTGGGCGGGAATTCTGGCCCTGTCTTTCCAAGTTCTTTGACCTTGGGCAAGCCCCTTAGATTCTCCACACTTGGTGAAGGCAGGATATACTGGGCTTTGCCATTTTTGTATTCTCACACACGAGCTGTGTGCCTGGCACACAGCTGAACAGATCTTTATGTGTTTCTGGAGCTTACGTTCTCTGTTTCCAGTCTTCTCCCCAAACCCCGAGTCCAAATCCACCGGTGTTCACATTGGCCTCCAGAGGGCTGTGGGTAGACGGTCACTGCGAACAGAGGACAGGCGTGACGTGTGGCAGGAGGTGGGCCCCAGCCCTGCCCTCTCCCCCCGGGAGCATCTGGCAGGCTTCCCCTTCTCTGTTGGCTTTGGGCTCTGGCATGTCCACATCCTTGGCTGTGGCTCCCACCACCATTTTGGGACACTTTATGGATCCTACTTGGAGCCAATGGGAGGAAACCTAATTTCCTGCCACAGGAAATGGTTCAGCTGGTGAAGAATATATTTAAGGATTAAAACCTCTGTCAAAGGAGCTGAAGGGAGTTGCTGGAGAAAGACTTCTGGGGGTCTCTCATCAGAAGCCACTGAGTGTAGGAAGAGATCTCAGTCACAAATGGGGAGGAGGCCAAAGGCAGGTTCCAGGACTATCTTAGCCCCAGCAGCTGGTCTTGGGCTACAAGGGCTGGGTCAGGAGGGTGGGTCACGAATAGATTCTTTTCTGCAACCAAGCATGTTATGGTAACATCAGCTCAGAATCAAGACTTATTTATTGGATTTACTGAAAATAGGCCTGATGCCCTGTGAGGCTTGGAGGGTGTGTGATGGACACATCAGCTAAATTAAATCCAGTAGCTGAAACTCCCAATTCACCAATCTTCCTCTGGTAAGCACTGGCGTGTGTTCTGAGCAGGACGGAGGGGGAAGAAGGACTACTAGGCGTGGCTCTGGGCAGCCCCCGCTGAACCAAGTTGTAGCCGATGCATTGGCAGTGAATGCCACGCCATCCCTGTCATGAGTTAGGACCTGTATGGCTCAGAAGCAGGGGCATGGACCAGGTGACCTCTGGAAAAAACTGGCAAGCCAGCGCGGCGGTCACGTGCTCATGCTGGCCATGCCCGTCCCCTGCCGGCAGGTCCCGCCCGGCAGCCCGGAGCGCTGGCCTCCGCCACAGCCTCGTGCAGGCTGCTGTGGGGACCTCTCTTCGCAGGGACTTGCAAAGACCAGAAGCTTAAATTTTGATAAAGTTGAATTTATCAACTTTTAAAAAAAACAATGTGTTTCTGGTGTGATAGCTCAGCAGTGTTTGCCTGTCACAAGGTCACAAAGGGTTTCTCCTGTGTTTTCTTCAAGAAGTTGTATTGTTTTCGGCTTTATATTACGACCCACTTCAGCGAGGTTTCGTACTGGGTGCCGGGTGCCGACGGTGGTTCACTCTCCTGGCGCTTGGACATCCGGCTCTCCTAACACCACTTGAGAAAAGACCGCCCTCCTCTTTGTCTTTGGACCGTGGTCGAAAGCAGTTGTCCATACATATGTGACTATTTCTGGGCCCCGTTAGGTTCCACCATCTGTTTCTCAGGGTTTGGGGGGGCTTGTTTTTTTGTTTTTGTTTCTGTCATTACCACACTGCCTTGATTACTGTAGCTCCCTTGCTTTTTAAACATTTAATTATATTATCCAAATAATTCATGTATGTAACAGTTTAAGAATTTAAGAAGTCCTTGACTTGATTCTTTCTTGAATTTTTCAATTTGTATTCTTGATTTTTCTTTCCAAGAGCTCTCATTTTTGAATAGTCTGTAAATGCTCCTGTTTGGGGTTGCAGTATCTTGTCTCCCTGAGAGCAGTTTGTTTTATTGACCTCGGAGGTTTCTTCTTGTCTCAGACTTGCCGCCTTCCTCCTTATTTCTTTCCCTGTGCCTCCTGCTAGTGTCTCAAACAGGCTGGGGTTCTGGCTGCGTTCGTATTTAAGAGAGGAAATAAAAACACTGCTGCCCCTGCTTGTTGGCTGGTGGGCTACCCTGAATAGGGCGAGCTGGCAGGGGGATCCCCAAATGTCAGATTGCAGGTCTCTTGTGGGCCAAGCTGTTTAATTGCTCCACAGGAGGGGGTGGGGATATGGGCCATTCATCACTGTCCTGGGTACCAAGTAAGCAAGGGGGCCTCCAGGAATCCTCATTCCACCCCTCATCTGACCTTCACCCCAAGCTTACTCTGGTGGCCCATCCAGAGCCCCCTCTCCAGTTTATTTTCTACAGAGAGCAAGCCTGTCTCTCGCAGGACTGGGGAGGCCCTGTCTGTGGGGGCTTGGAAAGGGGAACTGGGATCTGACTGCCCCTTCTGTAGACTTTCACCCCATCCTCCAGTTTTTAGCCTCGTCTTGAGACGTGTGGTACCTTCAGTTCCTGCGTCCCAGGTTCTGAGGCTCAAATGGAACCACTTTTCCTGGCTTCCGCTCGAAGGCACTTGGTTTCGGCTCCCTCCGCTCTGCTAGGTCTGTTCCCATTTGGCCATCTGCTTTCCACTCCTGTCTGCTCTGTTTTCCTGCGCATTGTTTTGGGCAGGACAGAGATAAATGCATCCATTCAGTTTGTTTTATTTGACCAGAGGACATTCCTTCCCCTCCTCTCCCCTCCTCCCCCCTTCTCCTTTCTCCTCAATCTATCCCCCTCCCCCTTCTTCTCCATCCATCCCTCCTCCCTCTCTCCCTCCTCTCTTCCCGCCCTCCACCACCTTCTACCTCTCCCCTTCCTTCCATACCTAGGGGGGAGTTGAGGCTGTCCTCTTCCTTCTGCCTGGTAATTACTGTTTTTTTGGCTGTAGGGGTTCCTTGATCTTGGGCCTCACGGGACGGAGGTAATTATATTCTTTGAGATGCCCTTAGTCAGCAGCTCTGGGTGAGTCCCTGTGACCAAGCCCAGGTCTGACCTCTGTCTCTCATCGCCATCCCCAGCCCAGAGGCTGGAGAGTTTGACTGGATTCCTCTGCCTTTGTCCATTTGGTGGGTGCTTCTGGTTGCGTGTAACCAGCCCCTTCCTCCCAGAGTGCCCATCAGTCCTGCTTATTCAGGGAAATGGGAGCCCTCTGTCATATGGGGACAGGGAGTGGGGCAGATGCCAGCCCCACCAGCTGTCAGAAAAGTTGTGCCCACTGCTCTGTCCCTAGTGCCACACACAGTAGGAGTTCATAAAATAGGTGTTAATATTGTGTGTGTAACTGGGATCTCCTGGACGTCATCTGAAACCTCACATCCCTTCAGGAGCCTCGTGCGGGCCCACCGGACCCCTGGCTGACCGTGCCTCGGCCACCCTGAGCCCCCAGGCTGACGTCCTGTTCACTGCTCCAGCTAGCTTGTCATGCAGTTACCTGGGATGTAGAAAAAGGAAGATTCTGATTTAGTAGGTTGGGGGTAGGCTCTCCCTTTGAAACAAGCTTCTGTGGACCCCAACTGCTGGTCCCGGGGCCACACTTTGGCCTGGCCTGAGAGGTGGGGGTCACAGCTGCTCCTCCGAGTCGCCACGGAAGACATGGTTTGCACAGGGACATTTGCAGTGTGTATGGCCGTCCCGGCTGGGGCCATTGCAGGACTAAGCACAGTGTGGAGTCACAGGCTCGCTCCTGCTCGGCCAATGCATGACCCTGTGGGTGACACGTGGGTGTACCTGCAGCCAAGCCCCAACTGAAAGGGGCTCCTGAGAGGTCTCAGTGCAGGTTCTTAGCCTGTGAAAGTCCTGTTAGTGTCCTCCTCTCCCTCCCTCCTCACCACAGATACCACCCAAAACAGAGATGTTCGGAGTTTTCTCCTCTTGTTTCTCTAATGTGTGGGGTCCTCATACTCGTACCTACCGAGCTCGTTTTCTTGCTCAGCCCTGTCCGCCCACCTGCGCCCGGCTCCAGGGCCTGCTGGGAACTTGATGCAGGTGCCATCCTTTGGGGTGGGGTGGGGGAGCCAACCCGGGAGGCCTCAGCTGTCCTTGGGGGCCTCTGCGTTCTCCGGACCCCGGGCACTGGCGGTCCAGTCCCCTGACCCGGGCCTCTGCCCTCAGAGTCCGCTGCACGCTCGCCAGGAGCAGCCGCAGGCAGAGCTTTGGAGGAGCCACGTCCACTTCACTGTCTCTCTCGGCTCCTCCCCGTCGGCAGGTCCCTGGATGGCCGCCTGCAGGTGTCGCACCGGAAGGGGCTCCCCCATGTCATCTACTGCCGCCTGTGGCGATGGCCGGACCTGCACAGCCACCACGAGCTGCGGGCCATGGAGCTGTGTGAGTTCGCCTTCAACATGAAGAAGGACGAGGTCTGCGTGAACCCCTACCACTATCAGAGGGTAGAGACCCCAGGTATGCTCCCCTCCGGGGTCTGCAGACCCCCCTGTCACCACCTCCCACAACGCCCTCCCCCTCCTCCCTCCTGTTCCTGAGGGAGGGTCTGCAGTGTCCCAGGGGTGCAGGAGCTTTGTGCCAGCCTGGCATTGACGCGTACCCACCTCTGCTCTGTCTCCCCTGGACAGTTCTACCTCCGGTGTTGGTGCCACGCCACACAGAGATCCCGGCCGAGTTCCCGCCGCTGGACGACTACAGCCATTCCATCCCCGAGAACACTAACTTCCCCGCGGGCATCGAGCCACAGAGCAATATTCCCGGTAGGTACCTGGCGGTGTGGCCGGCCTGGGGACCTCGGTCCCCTGCTCGGCTCCCAGCCCCCTGGGCCCTCCCGTCACCCCGCTGCGCGCACAGTGCTGGCCCCTGGCGCAGGACCGCAGCCCTGTTGGGAGAGGACCGTGGCCTTGGCTCCCCGCTAACGATGCTTTTCTTGGCACGGAGGAGCCGCGGCAGGGCCCTTCCCGGCCTCGGGGCCTAGCGCAGTCATTTATTTTGGAAGTAGAAATAGCAACACTGTGTTCCTCTCACCGCCCTTGACCCCTGAGGCCGGGCTGCAGTTCAGGCAGGATCCCTGCCGGCCTGGGGGCTGCAGAGGCAGTGGGTGCTCTGGGCCAGGCCCTGCTGAGCAGACAGCCTGGCTGGGGGAGAGGTGGGCTCCACTGTGAAGGGCGCAGATGTCTTCAGCAGCCCCTCGTTTACATGGCAGTACCGGGTGAAGCCGCGCTCCCAGAGCCCAGCGCCGGGCTAGTGACCGGGGGACTGGCTGCCACGGTGACCCTGCGGCAGCCCTCTGAGCGCTCTGATGAGGACGAGCCTTCACCCTGGGTGCGTTCGCTGTGCCGAGGCCGACTGCAGCCCTGGCAGGGGCACAGCTTAGGGAGAGACCCACCGACAGGTCCCACTGTCAGATCCCGCACAGGGGACGCTGCTCTCCAGGGGACAGGTCACCCACTCTGTTCATCCAGCAAGCCTTAGAGAGCTAGGCCAGGGTCTGGGGGTCGTTCAGAGAAGTAGATCCCAGTCTCTAAACTTGCAGCCCACTTGGGAAGCTAAGGCATGCCCTGCAGGGTTGGGGGACGTCGGGCTGAGGGCCCTTAAGGCCCTTGAAACCAATAGCAGCTGACATCACAGCCTCACCAAATCAGCCTGACCAAGTACAGCAGGCTAATGTTTAAGTTGATAATTTTGTGTGGCCTGCGAATGCTGTTATAAATATCCAAATGGCCCTTGGCAGAAAAAAGGTTCCCCACCCCTGAAGGGAGACAGCAGATAACAGGGCACCTGGACAGGAGCAGAGCCACGGTGTGGGTGAGGCTGTCCCCGCCCTGCAAGGACACAGGGGCCAGGTTGAAGCACGTCAGCGGCCTCCCTGGAGGGGTGGTCTTACACCTGACTTCGAAGAAGGGGGAAGCTAGACTGGCAGAGGCTCTAGAACAGGTACTGGGAGTAGGGGTGGTGAGAACACAGATGGTGACGAGGGGTGCTCGGGTGGGGAGCCTGAGGTGGAGGCGTGAGAACAGCAGACCCAGGACTGTGTCCCCGCTTTGAGGCCCATGGTTCCTCCAGCACCTGCTACTGGAATAGGGCTGCGGCTGCTCCAGGAGTTTGCGGGTCTCTCTCCCAGCCCTGGAGGCCATTTAATGAGCCACTTTCCTTCTGATTCCCAGAAACCCCACCCCCTGGCTACCTGAGTGAAGATGGAGAGACCAGTGACCATCAGATGAACCACAGCATGGACGCAGGTCAGAGTCACGCAGGGGTGTGCTCTTCATCCTGAGAGCCTGCCCTCCATCCCTCCCTCCCTCCCTCCCTCCCTCCCTCTTACCCTTCTCCCCCATCCCTCTACTCAGTATTTATAGAGCAGCCACTCTGCCAGGTTCTGGGGATGGAGGAGGAGCCTGAGCTGCTCCTTGTTGGGGGGACGGACAAGACAAGCAACGGTTCCTGTGCGTCTCCTATGTTCCCTGATAGAAGACATCACAGGGCATCAGGGCCACAGCACGGGGCCACCTACCCAGCCTAGGGAGGAGGTGTGGGGCAGAGCAGTGCCTTGCAGTGCAGGTTTGTCGTGAGTGTTGGAGCCATGTAGGTCTCGGCCAAGCCATCAGGCCAGGCACAGGGTGTGCCCGGCAGAGTCGCGGAGGCAAGGCCAGGAGAGTAAGCACTCGGTGAGACCAGAGCGTGCTTGTCCAGATGGGGACAGACAAGAGGGCGCAGCACTCGAGGCTTCGAGTGTAGCCAGGAGTTGGTGGGGAGCCGCTGCGGCTTCGAGCAGACTATGCAGCGGGATGTTGCTGGCAGGCGGCTGGAGGGTGGGCTGCATCACTGAAATGGTTCCGAAGAGCCTGAGTGGAGGCAAGGTCTTTGCCAGTGGCCGGTGGAGGCCCCCGGAGCATCTACGTTTGTGTGGTGACCACATGTGATCTATGTGTTCGCACTGTGAGGGACCCAGCCCAGTTGTCTCCAGATGTTCCCATGTCATTTATTATGGGACCACATTGGCTCCAGACCAGCAGTTTCTTGAGTTGGGCCCCAGCTGCCACATGGACTGTGTTCTGCGTTGTGTGCGGTTGGGTGAGGAGGAGGAGGGGGCCGAGCAGATGTCCTGTCCCCATGATGGCGGGTGTGCCTTGTGCCCAGAGCCTGAGATGCAGCAAGCCACCTGCCTGCACCAGCCTGAAGGACAGTACGCAGTTCCTGAGAGACGGTCAAAGCCACGCACTTGTTCACTGTAAACGTAGTTGCTTGATACCCAGCCTGGGCACCATGGCACTTCGGGGTTTAGCACCACCCCCAAACACACCCCCTGGATGAGTGGCTGACAGCGTGAACCCAGCTGGACTGCATCGGAGACCTTCTTGTGTTCGATGCCAAGCGGCTGTGGCAGGCTTGCAGCGTTACATGCTGGCACGGGAAGCCGGCCAGCTACGCAGCATCTCTCCAGATGCTCCATTTCTTCTCACTCTCTCTTCTCTCTTCCCTCCTTGCTGCTCGTCATGTTTGTGGAATGATTACTGTTTTAAAAGAAAACAGACCAAAGGGGAGGGTCTGTGTATGGGCAGGACAGCTGCCATTTCATCCCCTCCTGACCCTCCTCTCTGCCCCATTTTCTTGGTCGCCTCTCCCTTCCCCCGTAAGTGTCCTAGCAGGGCCCTGTTGTGAACACTAGTGATTTATCGAAAGTGGACACTGTGCTCCGTGGACCCCAGCCAGCTTGTGGGTGAGTGGGTAGAGTCTCCTTTTTATTCTCTGTTCTTCACCCAAAGTTGTCCATTTGGAAAACAGTCCGGTTGCTCATGGACAGCTGAGCTGTGGTGGCGCCCCAGTGGGAGCCTGGGGACCTCCTGGCCCAGCCTTGTATCTTCCCCAACACACTCATCTATTCGGACCAGGGAGAAGGTCCCATTGCCCTCCTGGGTCCTCAGGAGCCACCACAGACTAGGAAAGCAACGTTTATTGAGTGTGTGCGATGTTCCAGTCATGGTGTAGGCGTTTTTATAGGCACGATCTCACTTCATTTCTACACAATAGATGGTATTATTTCCAATGTGTGCCTGAGAGGAAAAGTCAAGGCTCAGAAAGGTTGCACCCCTTTACTGAAGTCCCACAGCTAAAGTCCGGGCCCCTGCTTCGGACCCCTGCTGCCTCTGGGGTTCTTCCGCATCCCCAGTGGACTGGGTGCTGGGGACGAAAAGAAACTCCTGGTGAGAGCAGGGACTACCCCCCGTTCACAGCTCAAGGAGGTGCATGCTGAGGCCCAGCCTCGAGGACTGTCAGATTCTAGGGTGGAGCCGGCCCCACAGGGGTGTTAATAAATGATAAACTCTCCATGTCCGCGTGGGTGCAGGGACAAGGGAGGCATGTGCCCAGTGTGCTCTGCGGAAAGGCAGTCACTTGGTTTTTTGGAAAGTTGATGCCATATGGGTTGTTTTTTTCCTGGGGGTGGGGAGGAGGTAATACAGTAGGAAGAACTGGGTAACTGGGTAGGTCTGCACGTTTTGCGACAGAGAGAATTATGTCTTGCATAAAATATCAGACTGGTCACCGAGTTGTGGGATTTCTGAGGCAGCATGGTGTTTCCTGAAACCAGAGGAAAGGGCTGGACTGGCATTTCCGGTGCCTGAGCCGCTGGGAGCAGTGACTGGCGAGGCCTGGACAGCTGCAGGCCCCACGTGGGGACACCTAGCCTTCACCACCTGGGCCTCACGTGGGGACACCTAGCCTTCACCACCTGGGCCTCACGTGGGGACACCTAGCCTCCACCGCCTGGGCCTCACGTGGGGACACCTAGCCTCCACCACCTGGGCCTCACGTGGGGACACCTAGCCTCCACCGCCTGGGCCTCACGTGGGGACACCTAGCCTCCACCGCCTGGGCCTCACGTGGGGACACCTAGCCTCCACCACCTGGGCCTCACATGGGGACACCTAGCCTCCACCACCTGGGCCTCACGTGGGGACACCTAGCCTCCGCCGCCTGGGCCTCACGTGGGGACGGCTAGCCTCTGCCGCCTGGGCCTCACGTGGGGACGGCTAGCCTCTGCCGCCTGGGCCTCACGTGGGGACGGCTAGCCTCTGCCGCCTGGGCCTCACGTGGGGACAGCTAGCCTCCGCTGCCTGGGCCTTTGAGCAGCTGGGGAGGGGCCTCCCTACCCCTCTAACTTTCTTGGGGGCATAGTTAACAGGGCAGGTGGGTGTGACACCAGGGCAGTTCCCCAGTTGGGAACCTGGACCCCTGTCTGTGGATCCTGGTGAAGAGCGTCACACTGTCAGCATGGCAGAGACCTCAGTGTCATCCACCTGTTCCACAGACGAGGCCACCTGGGCCCGTGGAGGGCAACGACGAGGGGCGGAGGGGATGTTTGGCCTGCTCCTGGGCCTTGGGCTGCAGCCCAGCGTTTCTCTCTGCTGAGCGGGGCTGCCCACCTTGATGCCGGGAGTCATGGGTGGAATCTCACGTCTGTGTCTCACCTTGCAGGTTCTCCAAACCTATCCCCAAATCCGATGTCCCCAGCACACAGTAACTTGGGTAAGTGTCTGCTTGCCTGTATGACTGTCTTCCCTCTGCTTGCAGCCCTAGCAGGTGGCCGGTGTGGGGAAGGGGTCCTGAAGGTGAGGCTCCACCCCAGCCCCCCACCATGGGCCAGCTCAGCCCACCAGGTTTCTGGTTACAGGGATTCTTGGGTCACCCACAGAATAGGAAACCTGAGAACAGTGGTGTCAGGAAAGGCAACTGTGTGCCGGGTTTGGGTCTCCCTTGCGTGGTGCTTAGACGTGAGTGAGTGAAAAGTCCCCAAACCTGGTGCTCAGTAGCCGAGGGTCGTGGTCAGCCCAGCATAGGTGTAGCCGAGGGTCGTGGTCAGCCCAGCGTAGGTGTAGCCGAGGGTCGTGGTCAGCCCAGCGTGTGTGTAGCCGAGGGTCGTGGTCAGCCCAGCGTAGGTGTTGCTGAGGATCGTGGTCAGCCCACTGTGTGTGTAGCCGAGGGTCGTGGTCAGCCCAGCGTGTGTGTAGCCGAGGGTCGTGGTCAGCCCAGCATAGGTGTTGCTGAGGGTCGTGGTCAGCCCAGGGTGTGTGTGGTTGGATGCCAAGCCGTGAGCAGGGCTCCAGCCCCATTTCAGACTTGTTTCAGATGCATGTGTGGATTTTACCTGAGCATTTCATCCTACAGTGATACAGTTTTTATTTACAACAGCCACATATAAGAGACTTAGGGAAAAAAGCAAAATTGCCCACAGTCTCTTCACTCAAACCCACTGTTTTTGTTTGATCACAGTCCTTCTGAGGTTTGTGGATCAGGCATAGTTATCTGTGCCTTGCCATTGGACCCACAGCGCATGTCCATTTTCTCATTTTTTCCTCTTCTTTATGTTTTTGGTAAACACATTTCCATATTTCGACGCCTTGTTTGTCGTTTTGCATCGGCTCTGGATGTTTGGAGCAGCGGGGCCACCGTTGGCACACCGTGGCCAGGCTTCTGGGTCTGCTTTTCTGAGCCTTGCTTTCCTCCTCCAGCGTGAACTTCAGCCCGGCGTGGGGCCCGCTGAAGGGCTCAGAACAAACGGAACACCCGTTCCGTTTTTATTGAGGGGGATTTTTTATGTGCTGGTCTGGTAGTTTAGAAGAATGTGAGTTTGATTCTGTCTTGGCCTTTATTGCTGGGGCCTGCTTACTGTGTGGCCAGGGAAAGAAACCGTTACCATCCCAGCTTGGGGAGCCAGAGGGGCTGGCCTCTCCTGTTCCCAGTTGTTTCCAGTCCTTGACTGATGGCATCAGATGAAGAAAGGCATCCTTTGGAACGGTGGGAGGTGCTTGAAAACCCTGGACTGTGGGCCGAGGAGCGGGCCTGGGAAGCGAGCCTGAGAGAGCTGTTCGGACGGCTCTGTAAACTAGCAGCACCGGGAGTGCTGAGCTCTGCAGAAGGAACTCAGGTTCGATGCGAGAGGACTGACTGAATTATTAAGAACAAACTCTGAAGGCCAGAAGCTGTGTTAACACGTGAGAAATTAAAAGCCACGATTACGAACTTGACGCCGGGCTTTGGTCTCTGAGGTTGGCGGGTTTGGATCTCATCGGACTCCGGCGGCCCCGGCTGCGCTTTCGCTCCGCAGACTGGGGCGCAGGCTCACCTTTGAGACCGGCCGCCCGACCGACTCAGGATGCGGACGGCAGTTGTCCCGGGTGTCGCTGGCTGTGCTTCCTCTCTGGAGGGTGTGGGCCAGGAGGATGCCTGAACTTGCCCTGTTGACACACTTCTCCCTCCTGCTGCCCATTCCTCAGGCCCCTTGTCTGAGGGTTGAGAATTCGTAGGTCACTTCTTCCAAGGGTAGGAACAGTGCCCGAGCTGGGTGGGCGAAGAGTGGGTGCCACTCTGCTGGGAAGCTCTGAGTGGGGGACGAGTCAGCTGAGTCAGGGTGAGGACTCATGGTGAGACAGAGGCCCACAGGCCTGGCTTCCTCTGCTGGACGAGCCCTCGCACCCCACCTTCATTCACCCACTGAGGCTGCTGGCTCTGCTCCACCCTGAAATCCCGTCGACTCCTGGCACTGTCGCTGGAGGGGGAGGAAGTGACCGTGATGATGATGGCAGACCTCCCTGGAGAGCTGAACCGCTTGCTGAATGCCGTTCGGCGTTGCACGCCAGTCTTCACGGTGGCTGTGGAAGGTGGGGGTGCTGTAATGTGTCATCTCACAGACGAGGAAAGCAGGGGGCAGACTGCTTAACCAACTGGCCGGTCACACGGCTAACAAACGGGGACACTTTCTTTGAGCCCAGGCCTTGGGGACCTGCTCATGTCGCCCGTCTGCGACAGGGCCCCACCTTGCTGGGCCACTTCGACCAGCTTGTCCGGCCCCACCACTTAGGAAAACAAGGCTCAAGAGGGTGATCATTTACTGATAGTTGGGGACAAATGTCAGGTTGAAGACTGTGTCCCATGTGGTCCCGGGGTGGGAACCTTGCACACTTACGTGTGTCTCTGTCACTTGTTCATTCCCCGGGCACTTGCTGCCTGGTAGTTGTGTGCGTCTGGTCGGGGGTTCGAAGAGGACTCACAGACCCTACCATCAAAGTGCTCATGGCTTGTTGGGTAAACAGGGCAGGACTGTGCATAGTGTAAAACGGGAGGTCGAAGGGGGCACCGGTGTGTTCCAGAGGGGGCAGGCTTGCCCGCGGCTTCTGTGGACGAACTCATTCAGTCAACCCTGGCTGAGTTCCCAGCGTGTCCTGACTCTGAGATCCAGAGCTGGGGATGACACTTAGGGCTCAAAGTCTGGTGGAGGGGCTGGCGGTGTCTGTGTCCACCTGTGACGCATTGTGCCAAATGCCAAGGGAGCAGGCGCAGAGGAGGGAGGAACTGTATAGGCCAAGGAGAAAGGTGCCCGATGGGTGGGACAACCTCAGGGCTGTGCAGCATGTATGAGCTGGACCCTGAGGAGGACAGCCTGAGGAGAGAAGGAGAGGACGTTGCAGGTGGGAGGAGTGGCGGGACAGGACAGGTGAGCTCCGAGGACAGCTGGTGGTGTGCTTGGTGGCCTGTCGAAGGCACCACGAAGAGGTGCGGCCGAGTCGGCTGGTGGGCCCTGAGAACGGCTCCCAGATGCCATGCTTGTTCGGCCCTGTCTTGCCTGCAGAATGAAGTTGTTGGTGGGCTTTGGTGGTGGAGGTATGGTTATCTGATGACAGCTTCCTGAAGATTAATCTGGCCACTGTGTGGAACTTAAATTCTAAGGGAAAGTACTGGAGGCCAAAATAAATAAGTAAATAAAATCCAGAAAGCAACCCCCCTTCAGAAGCCGGGGCACAGAAGGAGGCCGAGATGAAGGCGGGACTGGGGGAGGCATGGATCGGAGGGTTTATTGCCCAGCTCTGGCTGGCGAGGCCGCGTCACTGGGTCAGGACACCCAGAAGATGGGATGGGTTTGGGTTGGGAGACGACAGTGAGTTGCCTTTGCTTAATGTGTCCAGGAAGCAGCCAGGCAGTTAGGAGAGAGGTCAATGCTGGAGGGACAGATTTGGACGCCATAAGCACTTGTGACAGCTTTTCCCAGAGTGGGGTCAGAGAGACAGGGTTTTGTCATCAAGTGAGTTTGGAAAGCCTGTCCCTTTCATGGGGCCCCCAAGGCACTGGCATAGCAAAGCCTCTGAGAAGTCCTGCAGAGAGGAGGCCTGTTCGATCAGCCCTGCTCCCACGGAGCTTGACCATTGTGTCTTACAGCCCCATTGACCATCCGGAGGTCTCACTCCGGAAACACTGGCGAAGGTTCGGCTGAAGTCGGGAGTGGTCGAATTCAGCCAAGAGGGAGACCCAGCTCAAGAAGGAGAGAGAGTCAGAGACAGAGCGATGAGGTCCCTGGAGAGAGGGACAGGGATGAGAGGGAGAGGTTGAGGGTCAGGTGGAGGATGGGGCCACAGCAGCCAGAGGGGAGGAAGGTGCTAGGAAAGTCCCTGCAGAGATCCAAAACGAGATGTAAGAAGAGGCCTCGAGTTTGACATCAGGGGTTCAAGGGCATCCTTTGGCGAGCCGGTGAGGGGAGAGGTGGGGGCTGACGGTGGTCAGCAGTAGGCTGAAGGGCAGGTAGAGGGCGAGGGCGGGAGGGAGCACGGTTCCTTCCTCCCAGCCGGTGTACCGCGCTGTCCCGAAAGGCAGGTGATGACAGGCATACAGCGAGTCCTTCCTGGAGAAAGATGGGGATACCTCAGGACGTCTGATTATAAAGAAATGATTGTACAAAAAGAAAGAAAGCATAGGACATCTGGCTCCTTCTTCATTTCCGCCTCACTCCAGGCAAAAGGTTGGGCCCCCTGCCGCAGCCAAGTCCCTCCGGGTGACTCGTGAGAGCCCCAGTGTGTGACTGGGAGCCAGCTCAGCCTCCTGCCAGAGGCCCCGGGGAACCCAGGGCTTTGTTTTTCAGGGAAGGGATGTGAGCAGGTGATGTTCCTGTTATTACACACTGTGCTGGGTGAGTCACCTGGAGTTTCCTAAGCATTTAAGTGAGACAGATTGGGACAAATGGAGGGGAAGAGGAGGGAGGTGGAGAGAAAGGAAAAAAGATAACGAGCTGGGTCCTGCTGGTGAGTAAGTTGTTCTCTGCTTTTAAGTGAGACATTTTGGGGCGGGCCTTGACCGAGGGAGACAGGTCCTGGGGAGCGCCCTGGAGCAGCAGCTGCGCGGGGCTAGGAGGTGGTGGTTTCTCAGGGGCCTAGGGCAGAGGGTGCCTTCCTCTCCGGCCAGGAGAGAAGGGCCGGTGGCAGGGCAGCAGGAAGACCCCTGGCCCCGGACAGAGGACGGGTTAGTTCCAGGTGTCTCCATGCTGCTGCACACAGCTCTGTCTAAGGCCTCCCCTCAAGGCACTGACCTTCCGGGAACTTGGGACTCAGCAGCGGCTCAGTGACAGGCAGTCAGCTGCTGGCTGTACCCTCACACTCCCAAGGGTCCGGCTCAGACTCTGCCATTGACCTTGGTCTCAGTAAACTGGACCTAGGCTGAAGGTGCATGGGGTCCCTTCTGAGGACACGTGGCTCTGATCCCTCGTGCTTAGGGAGATAGGGTGGAAGGGGTGCCCCGGCGGTGGGGACGCAGCTGGCCGGGGTCTGCAGGGAATACGCTCGGTACACAGGAAGGTCAGACACGGGCCCATCCTGCACGGAGGGACGCGGTGCTCCGCAGCCATGTGAGCTGGGCAGCTCAGGCGGAGGACAGCAGGGGCCGAGAGGCGGCACGTGGGGACTGGGACGGGCGCTCCGGCCTGAGGAGGCCCCGGGGAGCCGCCCGCTCGGGGCTGCCCTTTAGCCCCAGCGCGTGCTCCTGGCCTTTGCCCGCTCCCTGCTTTCGATTTCTAGTAGAAAGTTAATTTCCCCTCTGGCCTCCCCCTTCCTATACCGGATTTGGATTTCTTGCACATGTTTTTAATAGGCATCCCTTAATCCAAGTGTTGCCTTCTGGGTTTTATTCTGTTTTCTTTTCCTTAAACAAAACAGAAAGTCTATGCCAGTTTGGAATAGGGCTCAAAGCTGAAGCCAGCTAATGTGTAAGGCTGGCAGGGGGCCAGTCATGAATTAAGTGCCCCATGCCACTCGAGAAGTCTGGCCGACACAACACTGGTGGGGGCAGGGGGCCGACACGGCGAGAGCTGGAGGCTTCTGCGTCTCCAACACCTCTGCTCCAGGAACAGAGATTAGCACAGACTCAGCAGTCTGGCCGGGAGCAGGGCTGTTTGAAGGGAAGGCCTTGGGCACACGCCACCATCTACCATTCCAGGTGTGCCAAGCCCTTGGCCTGATGAAGTAAAACCATTTTTCATTGGGGCAAGTCACCTTACCCCGTGGAGTCGTCCTCCTAGCCTTTGAATGGCATATCTTCAGGTTCTTTTGAAGAAGCAACCTCATGTAAAATTGTTTCTGCATTTGTTGGGAAACTCTCGAAATCAGGCCTGGCTGGCTTGATTGATATAGGGGAGGGGTTACCTATAACAAGCTTTGTTGCTGCCGCAGAACTAGTAAGGATTCTGTCTACCAGCCAGAGAATTGTAGCATATTCTCGCTTTTTGCCTTGTCTGCTAGGAAGCTCAGAGCCAAGTGGAGGCTTCTTTCAGTAGCTGGAATCTCACGGTTATCCCATTTATAGCCTTCTCTGTTCCAGGGTCCTGACTTTTTAGTTCTCTTGTACTTCACCATGATGTGGATAAGTCCTTTGGTGGGAAAGAAATGAGGGCGGATGGGAAAAATGAAGTGCTTTCGAGGCAGAACTCGGAGGGGGTAATCTTCCTTTGGGGGCTGCAGCTCCTCTTGCGGAAGTGCCTTGAGGAAGCAGCTGAGGTGGGTGAGAGGGGGAGAGGTGGAAGGCAGGGCCGGCTTTTAATTGTTTGCAGAGAATAATGAATGTGTGGCTGGGGGGCTGCTCTGGTTTGGAACGCAGGTCAGCTTGTCCAAACAGCCCTCTCCGAAATGGCAGCTTTGAGACGGTCTTGGCCTGACTGCGCTGCTCCTTCGAACCAGCATCTTCTTAATTACGTGTCAGGCTCCTGCGTCCAGTGTTTTCCACAATACTGTCCAGCGTGTGTCTGCAAGTTGCAGGGATGTTTGGACAGGGCTCAGATCTGCTTGGGAGGGCCTCTTGGGCTAGGTCCCTAAGCCCTCTCTGATTCTGAGACATCTTAAACCCACACTTCTCCCGCGTGCGGTTCCAGCACCATGTCACCTGACGAGTAGTCTGATGGCTTTTGGTAGGTGGGCTGTGCCAGTGTTCCTGGGAACCTAGCTGTCTGTCTTCTGCCTGGACTAAGCCCAAGGGGTGCTGGACAAAGATTTATAATTTGGGGAGAGGATTCTGTTCTGTGGCCAGCCCAGATCAGCCACAGCTGCACCTTCAGGCTGACTCATGCCAGAAGCACAGTGACCTAGACGGTCTGCTTTTGATGTCCTCTAGTACACTGAGACACTCTTCAGACCAGGCAGCTGAGGCCAGAGAGGGAGGTCACATCTGCAAGGTCACGCAATAACATCAGCAGAGCCTGCCTTTGGGCACTGGGGGCCCGAAGCCCTTCCCCAGCACCTCTGGCCCTGACATGTGGCCTGACCCCTTTGAATGCTTGAATTGCACTTGGATTTATTTATTGTTTAAGGTTTCCAAAGCAACACAGCTCACATTTTAGTGACCACATTGTTTAGAATATAGCTTATCTCATTGGAATGTTGAGGCATCCAGCAGAGCCTGAGCCGGATGTTGCTGACGGGGCTCAACTCAACCCCAGGGGTCCAAGCCACAGGCCACGGTCACTCTCGCCCCATCGCTCCCCATTCCGCTGAGGAGCTTTGCTCTCCTGTCTGCCTTCCTTCCCTCTCTCCACGCTGGGAAGACAGGAAAGGGGCAAGGATGCTTTGCCCTTCTTCTGATGGAGGTCAGGACAGGAACAGGATGTTCTCAAGCTCAGTTATCAAAGTCATTGTCGTTGACACCATTTCTTCTGTGTCTGATACACGCTCTGCACTTCACAGGAGTTATCTCAGCCCATCCACAAACAGTGCCTGGTGGTGGAAAAGAGTCTCCATTCAGGTGGCTGGGGGCAGGGTCCGTGAAGGCTGAAACTCGGAGTTTAACTGGTTTGCTCACAGACACACAGCCAGTCCGAGCCAGAGGAGAGTGAACTCTGGTCCACCTGGCTTGAACACTTGTGCTTCATGACCTGGTTAACATCTAGGGCAATGGTTTTCAACCAGGGGCTGTTTGTCCCCTAGAAGACATCTCCCAGTGTCTGGGGACATTTCTTATTGTCACAGCGTGGGAGGGTGAGATGGAGGGTGCTACTGGCATCTCGTGGATGGAGGCCAGGGATGCTGCTAGCCATCCTATAACATACAGAATCCCCTCCCTCCCCAAACGAAGGTGTATCGAGCCCGAACTTCCAGTGATACTAAGGCTGAGAAACCTGATCTAGGTGTCCTGGCTCTCGGGCTGACCCTTCCTGTGTGTGCGTTGAATGCAAGGATGGATGTAAGTTACCGGCTGCAGCGCTTCCCATGCCCTTAGAAGGGACCGTGGGCGAAGACCCCGGGAGATTAGGGCTCCTTTGCCTTGTAGGGAGCACTCAGGCCCCTGTCAGAACAGCCTCTGATGCTTCTCTCTCAGGCTTTGCACACTTCCAGAGGTCTGGTGAGCAGAGGTTCCTGTGGGTTCTCAGCCCAGGAAGTTGCCTGGCAGGCAGTAAGCAGGGGTCTCGGCCAGACTTGGCCTGGCAAGCCCTTCTGCCCTTTTCACCAGCTCCCACAAAGTGCCTAAGTCATCAGGCAGGTCCAGATATATGCCAGAGCCCGAGTGAGTGAGCCAGGCGGAGGTCTGAGATGGGGAAGTGAGGATGAGCAGGAGACTCCCTGCCTCTCCACCCCAGGGTGGGATTTGTAGGCAGAGAGCAGGATGTGGGAGCTGGTGCGCCCAGCCGGGTGGGGCAGTGCAGGGCAGGGGCAGCGGGAAGGGGCCAGCACGGGGGTGGGGAGGGGAGGCAGGGGGGGCACGCAGGGGAGGGGTGACAAGTGCCAGCCCAGGGCTCCGAGGACAGACCTGCTGAGATGAGAGATGATGCCAGGGGGCAGGAGGAGGACAGGGGTGCCTAGGCAGTTGGGGAGCCCAGCATGACTGGACGTGACAGGAAGATTAGGGAGTCATATGGGATCACATGAGAGGAGACGTCTGTTTCCGGGGTTCCCAACTCTTCTGAGAAAGAGAACCCGTCCCTGACAAGATGGCAGTTTTGCTCTGAGGAGACTACAGACTGATAACTAGGACACATTCAGAATTTCTTTCAGGAAAGTTTATGTCTCAGCCACTCCGACAGATGGCATCTGGATACGTCCAGAAGACAGTGTCTGGAATAAGAGGCATGGACCTAGTCAGTCCGCTCTGCGGGCAGCACCTGGTGCCCGTGTGGCTGCCGAGACTGAGCCCCCCACAGCGCCCCCGGGCTGTGTCATTTTAAAGGCTTGGACACTGCTGCTTGACAGGCTAGGCATTTGCCCAAGACCAGGCAGAGCCAAAGGCAGAAAGTCCTTTTGGGAGCCCTTTTGGGGGCAGAGATCAGCATGGGGGGCCTTGGAAGAGAGGCTGGGAGGTGACCACGTGGGAGGTGGTCCAACCTCATTGAGCACGCGGGGCCTGGCCAGTGGGTTTGCCCAGGGCTGGTTGGTGCCTGGCCCTCTTCAAGGTTAGCCCAGCATGTCCTTGAAGACTGCTTCAACCCACCGCCAGGCCAGGGGGCAGGGCCGGTGCAGTACTTCTCCAGATACCCAAGTGTTGTGCCCATTGGATCTGCAAGTCTTAGATGATAAAGCGCATGAGGTAGCGATTGTGACACCCTCTGAGAGGTAGAGAAACAGTCTTCTGGAGCATTCGGGGCCCGTGGAGGAGCAAGGGCCTGGGCAGGTGCACTGACCCAGCAGCCGGGCCTGTCTCCTAGACCTGCAGCCCGTCACCTACTGCGAGCCCGCCTTCTGGTGCTCCATCTCCTACTACGAGCTGAACCAGCGCGTCGGGGAGACTTTCCACGCCTCGCAGCCGTCCATGACAGTGGATGGCTTCACCGACCCCTCCAACTCAGAGCGCTTCTGCCTGGGGCTGCTCTCCAATGTCAACAGGAACGCAGCCGTGGAGCTCACGCGGAGGCACATCGGTAAGAGGCAAGGGGCAGCCGCCTTCCCCCTCCCCCACCCCGCCCCCTGCACTCAGACCACCCCACTGTGCTGGGACTCCTGCCGAAACTGGGAGAGGACTCCCGCCCCATCCCTACTCCCAAGCGTCGTGTTGTCTTGTTTAGGGGCCAGACAGGTCGAGTTCAGGTTGCTTGGCCATTCTCACTCAGGGACACAGATAGATCATCTCTGCAAACGTGAAAGCCACAGGGGAGAACACTTCAGGGAACAAGGAAGGGAAATCGCTGAGAAAGGCAACACATGCAGTTCTCTTGATAAACGTCCACTTCAGTAACTGATAGGTGGATGAGTAGATAGTCCGTCTTGGAGGGGTGCGCTCTTAGTTATGAACTTCATGCATGATTGTGATTATTCTGGAAAGCTTATAAAGGTAGAAGCATAAGAATTGCCCACTGCAGGGACCACCACAGCTGCTGACATTCTGTCTTCCAACACCCAGAACATAGTAAAAGATCACTTCGTTCAGGGAAGATGAAGCCTTGGTATTTATCACTTGGTTTGCTCATAAAATTATCCCACTAAGGCTATTCATAATGTTTTGATCCAAAGTCACTTAGAAACTCTGCAGAGATGGTGGGTGGGTGTGGTGGAGTCTTCTTCAGCATCATCTGCGGACCCCCGTCGGTCAGGGGACCCCAGGGCAGAGCCAGGAACGGGCAGGGCGCAGGGGTCTGGCCCACGTGACCAGGGCACCGCTGCTGGTTTGCAGCGTGTCTTGGGCATTGACCAAAGATTCCACTGGAGGAGAGGATTCTGTAGTTGAGAGAAGAGGCGTTGGAAGCCATGGATCTAGACCAGTGTGCTCATTTCCAGGGAATAATCTGACGTCCAGGGTGGAGCAAGTCCTGCAGGGGCCAGACGGCAAGTGTGACAGTGAGACAGCCCCCTGCCCTGAGCCCGCGTCCTTCCCAGATGGCCTCCCGTTTTTTTTACTTTAAACAAGATACTGATCTTGGGTGTTACTGATTCTCTCTGTACTTTTCTATATTTTAAAAAAATACTTCAAAAATTACTGCAACAAAATAGACGTTTTTGTTCTTTTGGTCCGGACCTTCCCACCTCCACCTCTGCTTCCCGTTCTTTTTTTTTTTTTTTTTTAATCCTCACCCGAGGATATGTTTTCTGTTTTTGTTTTTGTTTTTTGATACGTGCCCCTAGCAGGAACTGAACCTGGGACTCTCTGATCCGCAGGCTGATGCTCCAACCACTGAGCCAAACTGGCCAGGGCTGTTTTTATTGATTTTTTAGAGAGAGAGGAAGGGGGGAGGGAGAAACATAGATGTGAGAGAGAAACATCAATCAGTTGCTTCTCATATGTGTCCCAACTGGGGGTCAAACCATTAACTTAGGTCTGTGCCCTGACCAGGAATCGAACCCGCAACCTTTTTGTGTATAGGATGACGCTTCAACCAACTGAGCCACCCGTCCAGGGCTGCCTCCTGCTCTTGACGGACATAATTCAGAGGTTCTTCGTTGTGGACCCTGAGTCTGTCCTCTAACACGGAACCAAGAAGGAATGGGGGGTGTGGGGGATGGGACAGAAATGGGAGGAGACAGGGGAACCCCCAGTGGCCCGTCGGTCCGTGGTCTGGTTCCCGTCCCTCTTGACGTCGTGCCTGTAAGGTCTGGCTCCGTTCTCCAGCCCTCGGAGCCTCTTCCGAGGTAGAAGGGAGCACCCTCGGCTGCATGGGGAGCTTTGTCAGGGCCGTTACGCAACTGCTTGAATTGCAGAGTCAACTTAAAAATAACTTTTGTCCATCTGGAGTGGATTTAAGAGATGAAGCAGCAAATGATATGAGCCTATGGACTGTTCAGAAACAGGCACTGAGGGGAGAAAAAGGAGATGGCACTAGTCCCCCCTGCAGCGAGGTGCTCCTGGTGTCTGCTGCCTCAGGAGCTCTGCAGGTTTACTGACCGATTCCTGAAGCTCGGAGGGGAGGGGACCTAGTGGAACACAGACAACACTTAGCAGCCCTCTGAGGTAGGCATTATTATTGTCCCATCTTAGCTTAGGCTCAGAGTTTGGAGTGACCTGCCGGAGGCCTGTACTGGTCAGTGGCAGAGACTGTCCTTGGGGCTCACCCCATGCTCTTTTCTCATCTGTCCCTTCCTGCTTTGGGAACACAGCATCACCCATCATTCCCGGTGTGAGGTTAGGTTTGGGCTCTGGGTCCCCTGTGCCTGCTGAAGCTGGAAAGAACCAGCCACTTGGAGCGTGGGTCGCTCTGCCCCTCAGCTGGCTGCAGCCGGCCCTGGGGCCCGCGTGGGGCCGACAGCCTGCCCTGGCCTGACCCGAATCTCTCCAGGGCGAGGCGTGCGGCTGTACTACATCGGAGGCGAGGTCTTCGCGGAGTGCCTCAGCGACAGTGCCATCTTCGTGCAGTCCCCCAACTGTAACCAGCGTTACGGCTGGCACCCAGCCACCGTCTGCAAGATCCCACCAGGTAATAACACCTCCGCACCCACCCTCCCCCAGGTCCTCTCCCCTGGGAGGCATGTCTGGGTTGCTTTCTTCCTGCCGTTTTCTCCTCATCGGGGGTTGCATTGCCAGCCTGGAGGTGCTTTGCCTGGGTTCCCTCTGTGCCTTACCATCTTACTGCACTCTCCCTGGCCCTCCAGGGAGCAGACGCAGCATCGGATGGATCTGCTTCTGACCCGGGGTACCTGCTCATTGCCCTGTGTGTGCGGATGCTCAGTTTCCTCCCTCCCTCCCTCCCTCCCTCCCTCCCTTCCTCCCTTCCTCCCTTCTTCCTTCCTTCCTCCCTTCCTCCCTTCCTCCCTTCCTCCCTTCCTTCCTCCCTTCCTCCCTTCCTCCCTTCCTCCCTTCCTCCCTCCCTCCCTCCCTCCCTCCCTCCCTTCCTCTCTTCCTCCCTCCCTCCCTCCCTCCCTCCCTCCCTTCCACACACACGCACAGCATGCGGGGCTGCGGGGGGAGGAGGGATGAAGGAAGCCCTGCTGCTGTCTCCACAGCCCTTACACACCAGCTGAGATACAAGATGAAGATATAGGCACAGGGTGATGGTGGGGTGGACCCTGAGGGCACCCCAGGCTGAGGGGACAGTATGGGCAGAGGCCCTGAGGTGTTGGGGGCAGGGCACGTATGGGCAGCACTCGGACTGGAGGAGAGGCCGTGTGGGAGACAGGAAATGTTTAGAAAGCAGGATGGGACCAGGCTATGGAAGGACATAAGTTTTGCTTTTATTCTGGGGAACTCTTGAGGATTTTCTGAGCGCACTGGTGAATCCCAGCTGTACTCCAAGAAGGGGTGTCAGGCTGTACCCCACAGGGTGTCTTGGACAGGGTCAGGCCTGGGGAGCAAGACCAGGCAGGAGGCTGATCCCACCCGAGGCCTCCTTACTTAGAACAGCCAGGCCGACAGCCCAGCCGAAGCCCACTTCCCGTGTGGTCCGCACCCCGGGGCCCGCAGCCCGCAAAGCGTGGACGGTAGTGTGTGGCCCCGTCAGGCCGCAGACCGTGATGCACGTGTGCCTTGTCGTGTGCTGCCCACTGAGTCACAGGCGATAGTGAAGGGTCATGGCAGGGTCAACCTCAGAGTGCAGACAGGACGATAACTGCTCCGGGTGTGCAGAGCACTGTGGTTGCGTCTGCAGAATCTGTGTGTTTCTGCTCTCACTTGTCAGTCCTCTCCAGGTGAGGAGGCATCTTGAGGAGACCAGTTCAGAGAGGTTAAGCCATCGGCCCAAGAACACCCAGCTAGTAAGTGGCTGAGCCGGGATGAACCGAGGACTGACGGTGTGACTCCAAGCCGTGCTCCTCTGTTCTTGGCTCCGCTCGGGCCAGAGCCTGGTTGGGCCCGGCCTGTCCACACTCGCCTTGGAGAAAGCTGGAAGAGGAAGCTGGATGCATTGGTGGCATTCTGCCTACTCCCTTCCCCAGCTCCCTCATCTCTCCGGCGAGGGCCGAGTTGGCCGTGGTGGTGTTGGTTAGCTCAGAGGATGTCAGCACGCGGGGTCCTCTGAGGCCAGCCCCTCCTTTTATACAGGTTCACAAAGAAAGAGTGACCAGCCCAGAGTCACACAGCAAGGTTCGGAGTCTCAGGTTGGCCCGTTGGTCAGTGTCACCTCAGCTCACCTTTTTGGCATTTCCAACATGTGCTCTTGTCTTTATTTTTCTGAACACATTCCTGGCACTCAGGTGGCAAGACTTCAAACAAGAGATTTGTTATAAACTTTATTTGTGCCTGTCTCTAGTTTTACTGCCTGGAGAGTTAGACATGCACCTTCACTTGATTGTGAATGTCACCCCGACCCAGGCTGGTGCCCAGAGTCCAACATGGGGCCCAGATCGCTCCTCCCTCCTGGCCCAGCACGAGGTGATTCATCCAAGGGCCTGGGTGGGGGGTGCCCTGGGACCTGCGATGCGCTTCCCGATTGGGGAGCCTTCAGCTGGCCTGTCTCTGCTGGCACTCCTATTGAATGACAAGGTGGTCATTTTCCCCCAGGTGATCGGTCAAACCCCAGACAGCTGTAGGCATTCTGGCTCGGGTCCCTTGTCTCTCCAGGGCAGGGCCCCCTTCTCCAACCATCTTCCTTGCTCTGGGGGTCCCACTTCACTGTCCCCTCCAGTGTTCCCACAGCGCGAGGGGCTGGAGATTGCAGACAGTGTTCAGTGCTCTGCACATGTCGGCTGCACCCCACAGCAGTGGCAGTGGCTTCAAGGGCAGGGACTGGGTGGGTGCTGAGCGTGGAGGACGTGTGCCACTTCAGCATGGGAGGTAGGACGTTGTGGGTGACCAGGGATGGCTGTAGCCAGGAGGGGAGCACCCGGCACGTCTGCCCTTCAGCCTCACGAGCACCGTTTTCATTCTGTTGGCAGGATGCAACCTGAAGATTTTCAACAACCAGGAGTTTGCCGCCCTCCTGGCTCAGTCCGTCAACCAGGGCTTCGAGGCCGTCTACCAGCTGACACGCATGTGCACCATCCGCATGAGCTTCGTCAAAGGCTGGGGGGCAGAGTACAGGTCAGCTCGGGGGCGCGGGGCCCGGGGGGGCTCAGAACAGCAGAGCAGGGGCTCAGGGACGAGCTAGGCCAGCCCTCAGCCACAGAGCAAAGGCAAGGATCTGAGAGAGGCCGCAGCCTGGCAGGCTGGCAGGCGAGCGTTGGCCCAGCACCTCACGGCACAGGTGTTCCACGTCACCCCGGGGAAGGCACCTGGCATCATTCCCGCGAGGTGGGCGAGGGGACTGAGGCCCAGGGATGGAAAGTGACTTGACCAAAGTCACATCGTTAGTGGCACCTAGGTCGTGGCTCTCTTGGCTTCTTCCTCATTGTTCTTTTTGGGCAGATGGGTCTAGGACGAGCTTCTCCAGGGAGTCGTTTCCATCTCCTCGTTCCTTCCCCTGCGGTTGCATCTGACGCGGGTGACCTGAGCGTCTAGAATAGGACAGACCTGGGAAGCAGGGAAAGGAGGGGAGACTTGAGGAGTCACAAAGGAACAAAATTGCTCGGAAAAGAAACGGTGTCTTTCAGAATTTCAGGTATCAGTTTAAACCTAACAGTAGTCAGGGGCTGACCTGGTCTGCTCCGTGCAGCCTCTCAGACCACTCTGGTTTGGGCTTAGAGAATCCGGTGCCTCTTCTTTCACACCTGGACAAGTTTGCTGTGGGCAAGGCTGTGTGCCCCTCCCCTGCCCAGTGCCCAAGGCAGACTCGGAGGTACCCACACGTCAGCGGGAGCCAGCGTCTTGCAAGTTCCTCTCCCCTTCTCTTCATTTTTCCAGATGTTTGGAATCCATTTTGTTTTGCAGTCATTCTGCACCCAAGCCAAACCCATTTCAATATTGGCTCTGGGCCACCATGTCTAATGAAATCCAGATGAGCATGACTTATGGAAAGTCAGATTCTCATTAGAGGATTTCGGTCCGTAAAATCCTCTTCCATTTACCGTATTTTAGCTGCTGTTCCCTGTGTCTGCCTCCCAGTGCCAGGGAACAAAGCACCTTGGTCTGTGGGGGGGTCTCTGAAATCCAGGATGAGTGGCCAATTGAGCAATCAGAGGGGTCAGACCTCAGGAGAACTCACAACACAGTTATAATGGGCCGAGGAGATTAGCCCAGGCCCAAAGGCCTGGCCCAAGGGACCTGTTAGCCCACCTTTTAGCCCTGGCTGAAATCCCTTGAGGAACAAGAGTTGAAAGGTTAGAAAATATGTATTTTTTTTAGTGGGGAAGGGGAATATTTAAAGATGGACCCAACGGAAAAGAATCAGAGGGAGGTCCCTGTGCTCCCCTCACACTCAGGAGGCCGTCCTGGGGCCAGCCGCAGGCACCCAGACCAGCAGGCACCCCAGGGTGAGTCTGCAGTTCCGCTCCAGTCCTCCACTGGGTGAGCACGAGGGCGGGGCCCCGAGGCCAGCGGCCCTGGGCCTGGCGTGGCCCCACAGCTCTCCAGCTTCAAGCGCAGGGACGAGGCCCCTCGGTGGCAGACGCCTTTCTCTGGGGGCACTGTGTCGCCCTGCAGGGCGCCGTGCCAGCACACCCAGTCCCGTGTGGCCCACCATGTCACTGCCACCTGGCAGCACCTCAGGGCAGCCGAGCTGGTGGGCGCGGCCCCTTCCCAGAACAGCCTTGCCCTCCTCCTGCCTCTTGGGCCAAGGAGAGTAAGGTTTCATCGCTGCTGAGGGGGCCGGCGGCAGGCCGGGCCCAGGCCTCCCCTCCAGCTGGCACGGGCGCCCCGCAGCAGATAGCCGCGCGGCCGGCCTCTGGAGCTCGCCTGCGAGCTGCGTCACCCACCGGCCCGAGTTAGACAAAGTGCTTTGGGGAAAAGAAACGTGTGTGCGCGCCTCGGTTTTTTCCAGTAATTGTTTCATGGCTCGCTCTGCTCGTAAGATTTTCCAAAATAAGGCCATAGATGGGAATTATATCAGCACACTGGGAACCGACGGCATGCGGACTCTGTCGGCGCTTCGTAAAAAACACCCCTCAATCAGACAGACGCACGTCATCGCGGCCTGCTGGGGCCGGGCCGGGGTGGACACGGAGCCGACGTGCCCGTTCAGGACAGACGGGCCCCAGGGAGACCTTTGTTCAGGCTGGAGGTTCTGTCCGGGGCCTGACATGGCCGCTGGTGGGCCTCTGGGGTACCCTGGAATTTGCCTTTCATGCTTAACTCTTTAAGGGCCATCTCCTTCCCCATCAGAGACCCCGGTTCACGCGGAGCCCTCCTGGGCTGGAAGAGTTTGGCAGATTCAGCGAGTTTCGGGCACCTCCTCGGGAGCCCTGGGAGCCCAGCAAGGCCGGACCAAGCTCTGGCTCTGGGGGGAAGAAGGCCGCACCGCAGGGAAAGGTGCACTGACTTACGTGCGTGCCTCCAGACCAGCGGGTCTCAACCTGAGGGCCGTGACCCCTTTGGGGGTCGCACGACCCTTTCACAGGGGTTGCCTAAGACCATGGGAAAACCCCAAGACCATCCGACGGTCTTAGGAACTGAGACACCGCTCCTCTCTCCGTCTCCAGGCGGGTCCGCCCACATGCAGATAGGCCCACAGACAACATGAGGAACTGGATTAAAGGGTCTGGGCATTAGGAAGGTTGAGAACCACTGCTCTAGACATTTTAAATCTCTCCTCTCCCTTTCCCTTTCCCTGTGTCTTGTAGGAGACAGACAGTGACCAGCACCCCCTGCTGGATTGAGCTGCACCTGAATGGGCCTTTGCAGTGGCTTGACAAGGTCCTCACCCAGATGGGCTCCCCGAGCATCCGTTGTTCCAGTGTGTCTTAGAGACATTGGGTGTGAAGAGGGGGTTGGGGAGGGCGGGCTTGGGGAAAATGGCCATGTAGGAGGTGGAGAAAATTGGAACTCTACTCAACACACTGTTGTCAAGAAATTTTTCTCCTTCAACCAAAGTGTCACCAACCTGTTCTCCAAAACACAAAAGCAAACCCAGAGATGGATTTTATGAACAGCTGTGTCTGAACACATTTGCCCTCTGGCCCCAGCTTGAAGGGCAAGAAATGGCTTCTGCTTTGGTGGCTTGAGCAAACAGGTAGTATGTCACCACCCGCCTCCCTCCCCCCAGCCCTTCTTTTTTAATGACAGCAACCTGGGATGTCACTGTCCAGGAAATGACCCTCTGTTCAGGACTGGAGTGTGGCATTCACCTTGGGTGTTCTAGGTAGGGAAAAGCCTGCAGGGGTGTGAGCAGATCTCCTGCCCAGCCCTCTGGCGCTTGTGACAGATGCCTCTTGCACTGAGCAGTGAGCCCCAGCACTCCCTCAGCAGACCCTGCACCTGGAGCTGGACTGACTCGGGGTGGGAGGGGCTCGCCTGTCTCCTCCCCCTCAGAGCATACTGACTGATGTGACCCAGTGTGTTCAGGGGCAGGGACAGTGGGGAAAGTTGGAGAGACCTCTTCTTTCAAAATGCTCTTAAATGTGTCCCTTCTCACTTTGAGCAGTTGGAAGGATCTGCTGAGGCTCGGTGCATATGCAGTGTATCGTTTGTCCCATTGATCTCAGAGAGATTTGAATTGCGTGAAGTATTCACAGAAAGCAGGAGGCACTGTGGAGTGACAGCGTTCGGGCTACGGCAGCACTACATAGCGTGGGTCCCAGTTGTAAGAGCTCACTTCATATTCTCATGCATTCGGCTATTGGTTTATGTAGTCATTTGCATTAATTAAATGAACTTTATCATGTGCTCTTTAAATGTTTGTTTTATACTTAAATCCTGGGTTGGCGCATTGGCTGGGAAGCCAGAGTGGGACCCAGCGACATCTCCCCCAAGGTGAAGCTTTTGCTGAGAAGACACCTGCCAACAGTTTTGGAAACTGAAATTAACAGAAGCAAATTCACCAAAAGGGGAAAATCTCAGGCCATCATAGGCAAATGAAAGGGCTATTAAAATTTTTTACACCTTTGAAAATTGTAGGCTTGGTGCAAAGAGGTCTGTCATCTTTCCCCTGGGGTATAAGATTATCTAGTTCATGGTAGAGGATTATCAGTGACAACTCTAGCAGTTACATTGTGTAATAAGTACTGCTCCCAGTGGCAATTAGTGAGAAAACTATTATAAATTATTTCAACTGGAAAAAGAAAAGAGCCCTTTTGCAGAATACAGCAGACAAAATTGCCACTTGCAACTGGTACTTTATTCTTTGCTGCTGTTTTTGTATGAAATGACTTATTCCATATTTTTGCATGAATTTCTACCAGGAAAAATAAAGGGATTTCCTATGGAAGTCCTGTTTTAATTCCAGGTGAAGGGAAGAAAGTGTATACTTTTGGCAGGTTATCAACCTCAAATGTGATGACATTTCTGATGCTAAAACGAGATGCTGGAGGCCTGCCGGTGCCTCCCCTGAAGGATCCTACGCCTCTGAAGCTCCAGCCGTGAGGTTTCCAGGTAGGAGAGCTGCTCACCACGCCTCCTGAGGACACAGGAAGAGAAGGGAGGAGCACCTTGCCAGACCTGTGCTGTCGCGGGGCTATTGACACACAACCCAGAGGCGATGCAAAACCCCTCGTTCCACCTGAGGGCCAGATACTGTGTCTGAAGTCTGTGCCTGGTGTGAAAGAATCTGTGGACTGCTTCTTAACAGGTGCAGGAAGCTGTCTGCACCTCCTGGATGTGCGTTCATGCTCCTGGTCAGGTCTGAGACTTGTATGCGTTATTCCATTGAGCCTCTCCTAACAGCCACGGGCAGCGGTTACTGAGGGCCTGCATTCTGCACCTGCTACAGGATCCCGAGAGGGCTTCCTATGGCACACAGCTGTCCTCCAGGTACTTGGCAGCTTAGCTTCAGGTACAGCCCAATTTTGGCGATTCAGTGGTCACGTTTGGCTATATTTGGACGGTGCCTTAGAACCCTCAATGTTTTGGTTTTCCAAAAGCTACTTACTTGGTCCTTTTTCTTTATAGATTAGACCACTGGAGGAGGCAGCATCAGCATAAGGAAAATGTAGGTAAGCCCACCTTTGGCATCACGGAAAATAAATATGGTCTTACCTAGAGCTTAGGACCTGGTGCCATTCCCATCACAGAGGCTGAGTAGTGGCTTTGGGGAGTGTGTAATATTAGTGTCCTTCCTTTGTCACAAAACTGGTTCTATTTTTTAAATCCTATTGTATGAAAGGCATTTACACATTTAAACACATTTTTAAAGAACAGTTGAAAGGGGCAGGAGGAAACGAGAGCAGTTCTGGAGGGTGGCAGTACCTGCTGGATAGCGGTTTTAAGTGTAGTTTGTCGTCCAGGCTACAGGATGTGTGCACTGTTCCCCTGCCCCAGGCTCCCTGCCAGGTCCCTTCACCTGGCAGCCCAGAGTAGCTAAGCGTGGGGCACAGGTCCTCAGCCCAGCACCTCCCCTGGGAGCTAACTCCTGTTCCCTTTCCTCTCCTCCCCCATCTCCCCTTCCCAAACTTTATTTAGTAACTTCGATCCTTCCAGCACACACTAGGTAGCCGCCCAGCGGTTCCGGTTACAGGCCTGTGCTGGAACATCATCTCAGTTGGCCCGCTTCCCAGCAGGCTGCAGAAGGCCTGACATTTTGAGACAAGCCTAGAGTCAGGAGCGGGGACTTTGACTCTTAGAACACACATGAGGGCAAGGCTGCTGGCAGACTTTTCCATTGTCCTTATGTTGTCTGTGTTGTATTTTTTTATTGACCACGATTATTTTTTTAAATCATTGTTAATGTATTGGAATGAGCTGTAGCACAGATCTTGTGCTTAGTTTGTTTTGTTTCTTTTTCCATCTCCCCTTGGCTTCCTAGAGTTTGGACATATTCCAGGGCTAAATGCTTTTACTCAAACCACAGAAAAAGGTTCTCTTTAAGTAGTGTGTGCATGTCATGCATGTATGAGCAGTCTGGGGCGCAGGCAGGGATCCGATTTCATCCTGAGGTCCCTGACGTGGTGCAGGGAGAGAGCCCACATTGGGCCCCTCTCCATAGTCCTTAAAAGGAGAGGGAAGGACAGTTCAGGGAGCTGTTTACCAGGGTTACCAGTAGCAGGAGAGGCCATGAGTTCAGTTCTGGACCCTGTGCCTTACTGTGTGCCTTACTGTGTGGCAGAGTTGGGAGTTTTCCCAGAATCTTCGTGTCCCCACTTCCCTAGAAGAAAACCTCAGTACAGCTAAGGTGTGGCATAAATGTCCCCTTCTAGAATCTCTTCAAGTAACAGTCTTCAAAATGTATGTCACCCTTTTAAAGAGTATCAGCCACTTTTCAAGTAGGTGGGAGAGTAGGAAAACTTAGAGGACACAGATCAAAAAGGAAGATGCGGCATCTCTGATGGAAGGGTGTCAGTCAGTGGGGAAGTGACCAGCCAGCCAGGCAGTGTCACAGAAACAAAACTTGTCTATCATGTAAACTGGATCAAGAAATTCTCTGTGATTTTCTTTTTTATGCTCAAGTAATGTATACTCTCGCATCTTGGTGTTTTATATTTATGTAATAATTTCTTAAAACCATTCAAGACAGACAACTATTTAATTTTCTTGAAGAAAGTTGGGAAGGCCTCTCCCCCCAAGGCCGCTGGCTGGGAAGAGCTGGCGGCACAGCCAGTTCTGAATGTGGGTTGAGGGTGCAGCGGCTTTTCTTGGCTCAGCGTCCAGACACGCCAGCCCAAGCTCGCTGATCATGTCACAGCGGGTGACAACAGGCAGCTCGGAGGCCTCGCCCTTCCCAGGGGTGAGAACTTTTCACGGAGGGCTGGAGCCCTTTTTCCAAGACGCCATCACTCCCCCTCCGGCAACAAGGCTGTTCAGTTCGGGACTTCGTGCAGGACTCGAACGTGGATGATATTACCTTCACTTCTCAGCCAGCCTGACCTTTGAATGCCTTTGTAAAAAGCATGTACGTATTTATAGCGTTTTAGATTTTTCTAACTTTTGTATCTTAAGAGCAGAGCACCTGTTTAAGCATTGTACTATTGTTAAAAGATTTGTGCCCTTCTAATAAACTTTTCCTTGAAAAGCTCCTGCACCAGGAGCTCAGTCCCATTCTTGCTGCCGTGTCTGGGTGGGAAGAGACCTACAAGGGAACCCGGGGGCTAAGCCCAAATGTCCTTTGACCAGGGACGTGCCACGCCGCCCCCTCACGTAATACCCCATTCCCTCCTTCACTCCCCAAGGGCAACGTGCAGTGCCAGCAGAAGCCCTGGGTCGGCCTAGCAAAGGTCCAGAGTCCCACACCGCGGGTGCCTCTCGCCCGCTCCCTGCGCTGCACAGGCCCCGCCCACCGAGGCGCTGGCAGCACACCGCACTCGCTGCACAGGCCCCGCCCCCCCACCCCCCTACCCCCGCACTCGCTGCACAGGCCCCACCCCCCCCTAACCCCCCCCCCCCCCCCCCCCCCCCGCACTCGCTGCACAGGCCCCGCCCACCGAGGCGCTCGCAGCACTCCGCACTAGCTGCCCCTGTACTTAAAGGCCTTGGGCAAATGATTAGATGCCATCAGAGTGACCGTCCCACAGCTATGGAGGTAGTTTTAGACGAATAAGTAGGTTTCCACGCCAGGAGGAGTGCACACTTCACAGGAGCTGCACCAGATTCCCACCTTTGTGATGATTTGGCCAATTTCCCCGCTTGCCCCCCTAAACAACTTTCCCCAAGGTTTTATCTAGTCTATTTCTAAGCAAATGACTCTCAAATCCATACCTCTAACCCAACCTGTTGCAGCTGTCTGTTAAACATGATCTGAAACAAAACACCCCCAACTGATCACCTTCCAGCTCACTGAGCTAGCTCTTTCCTGACGCCCTGTCTTTATCAGTGCCTCGTCCCCATTCTGCCAGTCCTGAGAAGCTCGATGCACTTCTCTTCCTTGCTCTCCATCACCCCTGCTGCCCGTTAATCAAACCTCCCTTTCGGAGAGGCCCTGAATGGCCTCATTGCCCTCGATCCTCTTACACAACCTCCTCTTTTTCTTGGGCCTGCACCTCCTCCTGCCTACTCCTTCCGGTTGGTGTTCCCAAACCACCGTATGTGTTCTTGACATTCCTCCCCGAGTGATCTCATCTACTTGCATGATTTCAAGCCACATAAATGCTAATGATTTCCAAATCAGTATTTACAGCCCAGGCATCCATCCCAGCCTTCAGACTTGTAGCCAATGTGGAGGTGCCACAAGTACCTCAAACTCATAATTTAAAAAGCGAATTCATCACTGCCCTTATTAAACCATCTCCCTCTCTTCTGGCCTTCAGCCCCATTTCTGGCCCAACCATTTACCCACCCCAGAGCCACAGCAGTCAGTCATCTACCCTCCCTCACGCCCCACCTCCCATCAGCCTGTTTCCTGTTCTCACTGCCCTACACAGCAGGTCTTCCAGTATCCAGACAACTGCACCGGCTTCATAACTACTCTCCTGGCCTCCAACCTGCTTTCCTGTAAATGCATCATCCACACCAACCCCAGTGACCTACCTGACCTTAGATGCCCCCACTCTTGGCCCCAGCACAAATTCTAAGGTCTTTTCATGGACCATTTGGCTCCTATGCAGCTCACAGCTGCCTGCCTTACACTCTGCAACCAAGCAACATGTTGTTCCTTAGACTCTGCTTGAACGTTGACCCCCTTTCCCCAGTGTAACTCCCTGCCCCAGCCTTCCTGACATGCACCCTCCGTTCACCTGGCTAATGTCCACTAATGCTTTGACCTCAGACGTCTCCAGGAAGCCCTCTGTGAATCTATCACCACATTCTCAACTGTGTGTGAACTATGATGGTCTCCTCCTCTAGGCAGCGAGTTCCTCGAGAGCAAAGTTTGTATCTTATTCTTATATCCCCAACTTCTTTTGGCCACCACATATTTCTGTTAAATAAATGAATCAATTAGAGCCCATATCTAGTAGATTCTACCTCAGCATTATCTTTTGCATCCATTCCCACTGTGCTATAGTAAGTCTTTACATATAGCTAAAGGAATACCACCCAAATATAGCTCCTGATTATCTTTTATTACAGCTATTTCAACCTTCTCCTAATCTGTCGCCCTCTAGTCCAGAGATAGCAAATGTGAGACAAAATGACCACCCTTCTTTATTTCTCTATCCACAGTGAAAACCACTAATCCCAGTGCTGGGTCCATTCTCAGCCTCAGAATCCTTCTTAACACACCTCTTCAGGCACATAGTGCTAATCAATCAGCATTGGCAAATACTACTGCCAGATTTCCCTGGAATGTAATTAAGGTTAATTAATGTCTTTTCTGCTCCAAACCTGGCTCAATTACCTCCAGAGCAAGCGCAGGCTCCACAAAGGAGGATTTCAAGGTTGTCTCCATCACTGTCCTTATCTACCACTTCTCTTGTTGGACTACTGGGGTTTTCCCACAGAAACCCTTGCACTGTCTCCATACCTTTGTTCATGCCGTAACTTCCACTAAGAATGTTGCTACCTCCACCTATCTGCCCATGTTCTTATCCTTCCAGCTCAATGCAAGCATCACTTCCTCAAAGTCAGTGGGTCTCAAAGTGTGGTCACTGGTCAACAACATCAGTATCACTGGGACATTAAAAAAATATTCTGATGCCCCACCATGGACCTGCTGAATCAGAAACGGGGGTGGGGCCCTCCAGGTGATTCTGATGTGGCTCAAGTTTGAGAACCTCTGCTCCCAGATGCATTTTATGCTCCTTCCAATCCACTCTGCGCTCCTTCCCACAGCAATCAGGGCTGCTCAGGGTGCTCTTCACATTCTGCCCAGCATTCTGCCTCTGCCCTCATCTGGCTTGTCCCCTCCCCCCGAGTTGGATGATGAGCTTCTAGAGCAAAGAATTCACATCCTTACCGAGCCTGCGGCCCCTACTGCGCCTAGACAGTCTGATCAAGAAAGTTCGCCATCAGTATTGGCTGGATTCTGGATCATTGTTTCAGCAGGTTAAAGAAACAGGTTAGGCCCTGGCCAGTTTGGCTCAGCGGTTAGAGCATCAGCCCGTGGACCAGACAGAAAGAAACAGGTTAGTTGCTTATTCTCACCTTTGAGACCTTCTGACTTCATTTATGACTTCCTGAGAATTTCCTGGAGCAGCAGGATTGATGCAGACCAAGTCCTTGGGCTCAGGTGAAGAGAATTTTTTCTCTCCTAAATTATGCTGCTGTTTTCTTACAGTCCCTACCCCAGGCCTCACTTAGCCCACACTGCTGTAGCACTGAAGCCACCTGGTTGATGAAAGAAAGGGGAGAGGCAACGACTTTCACATCCTTCATAGGCGAGCACAAAGGAGGCTGGCCATGAACTGTGGTCATGGTATGTGGTATGTTTGTGCTTCTCAAATTTGTGGTTATGAGGAGAGAATATTTGAGTCTATCAACATATACACAGATATTAAAGGGTCCAGAAAAAAACAGTTTTTTTTCTTGCCAAACCTGTGTTCCAAAGATGCACTAATAACCTTTAAGTCCAGATTCTGAACGAGTACTTTTCCAACCCGAAACAAAGCAGAACTGGAAGTCATCAACAGCTGGAATGTGGCTCAGTGGTGTTCCAACAAAAGGCCACACTGTTGCTATCACCTCTATTAAGTCTTCATTCTGCAAATCAGAAACACCTCAGAACAGAGTAAGACACTTCCTCTACCAGAACTGTAACACACACACACACTTTGAATAAAGAAATCAATATCAAGAGCAAGACCTGTGATGTTAATAACAGGCATACAAGTAATGCCCAAAATAGAAAACGTAAGAGAATTTCTAAGACCCTTTCTACAAGAGTTTATATGCCAAAGGTGCAAGCATGGATCCCTAAACTAAACCCCTAAGTGGAATCTAAATCTAAATCAGAACTTTGCCCTGCAGTCGGCACACTCCTTTTATGAGACATACAAATTAAGGGAAAGGTAATAGGGTGTGGTTTTCAAGCCAGTCCTAGTAGGTGGGTACACTTGACCAGATATTTTACACTTTCTCCACCTATAATCCTTTAATAAAATTTGATATTTAATGACAGAATGCTGTAGCTAAATTGTCTTACATACTTTTAAATTGGGGGGGGGGGTGAAGGGCAACTCTAACTCATTACAGCATTCTCTGGAACTGTCTCCATCAATCAAAGCATTCAATGAATCAGGACCTCTGACCACACTAGACACATGTTTGCTAAATTTAGCTTTGCATCAGCAAACACTCAAGCTCAGAATAGTTCGTGGAGCTCTCATTTTACCCTTAGACAGTGATTCTCCTAAGACTTCCGCTCCATGGCAGGCCAAGGCAGGGCAAGGGGCACTCCACATGCTCTCAATGGCCATTGTTAAGACACTGGCCCAAGGTTAAGGGGATTCGGTATCAGCCATGACAAACATGTTTATTCCCACCTCTCCACCAAGGGACCTTGAAATTAGCCATATCACATTTCATGTGTTACAAGTGGGTTGCAGTAATGGCCTGACGTGCTCTATGGTCCTTGAACCACATCCATGTTACTTAGCCATCTAAGTGTAGCTTCCCTGACTCTCCAGCTTCTCTGAATTAGATGTGGCCAAGTTCTATAAATAGAGAGCAAGCAAACTGGTTCTGTCAATCTCATACTCTGGCAGGATAACATATCTTAAAATTATAAAAATATCTATGTCTTCATCACTCTAAAATTATTATATAACACATGCTTTTCTCAGGGAGAAAAAGCTTCTTCTTGCCTCTTGCTACCTTCCAACACTCATGGACCTTTATATTTTGTAATCATATTCATCAAACCAACTACAAATACAAACCTACTGTGTGTGAAACAGTGTGTTACACAAATAGAGAAACGTTTGGCATAGGGGCAGAGCCAAGTCTCTCATTTTAAATCCCAGCTGGACAGTCCATAATAACCAGTGACAGCATGTACAGAGGTCCCTTTAGATAGAGTGCAACTTTTAGTGCACAATTAGCTCGTGAACACCCTTCTTAACCTGGGCCTTTCGTAGATACCACTGGATATTTTATCCCACATTTCCCCCAAAGGGGGCCGATATGCCCATATAGCTGAAGACTTGAAAATGTGACCTGTTAGTATACACATGTATGAAGGGTTTGATAAACCCTTACACTATTTACTATTTGTGCCTAAGCCAATGAAGTAAGGCTTTCCCCCACATACATCCTCTGCTGAACAACAAAATCATAATACACATTAGCAGACTTTATAAACAAATCACATTTTAATCATCTGGCTTTATTTAATCCACAAAATCAAGTTCACAACCTTTTCTAGTCTGTTTTCTCTAACCATGTAATCCTAATGTAATTTCTGAAACCTCTCAGGTTTTAAGAAAACCATGTTAACCTTTCATTTTGCAACAAGGAGCCAACTTCCCTTACATTCCTAATGAATGGCTGATACAGTCATCTCAAAGAAACACCGATGGAATGGTGGTAAACTACAGACTCACTAATCCTTCAGAATAGTTAAAAAAAAAAGGGAAAAGAAAGTCACCAAGCAAGCTGAGAGAGAGCGCCACCAAAGTTCCCTTAAATGGCTCTTCCTGAATGTCCATCGCTGTAACCTCCGCTCCTGTGGTCACACTGGCCGGGCACCACGTGCCTTCCTTTCCTTCTGCCTCTGCCTCCCGCTCCGCAGTGCTTGGAGGACGGAGCTCAGCGAGGTCTGAAGCTTGTTTCTGCTGGTGAGCACAGACCAGCACCAGCCAGCCCTGGTGCGCTGGGACTCTTAGAGCCATGCAGCGACCACCACGGTGACGGGTTATCTGCTGTATTTCCCTCTTTCTTGGAAACTTTCCCTCTGGGGACCCGCTAGCCAGGAAGTAACACAAGGTACTCAGGGGCGCACTGCCTAACATTCCACACCCTTTTTGACCTCACTCACTTTAGTGTTCCTATTTTGGCAGTGATCTGTCTTTCAGAGAGGAGGAGGAGGAGGAAACTTGTCTTGTTTGGAGGGTATAAAGTATGACAACACAGCTCTGACATCTCAAGAGAACTCTAAGGAGGAAGAGTTTCTTCATGATAATAGTAATGCCAAAATCTTAATATGCGATCACATACTGTTTCAATGGCCCCTGTAGAGAATTACTTATTACTCTCTGTCTCCTACACACACACAAACTGCCCCACCCCCACCCCACAACAACTTTGTAAAGGGGTCTGTTTTATCCCTACCGGAGCAGGAAACCTTTCCTCATTTATTACAGTCTAAAAATTCACACTGAATTCTTAATACTTTCTAGCATGAGCTAAGACACTATATTTTAATGGAAACACCCAGAGCATTTTTTTTTTTATCCTCACCCGAGGGCTTTTTTTCCATTTTTTGTTCAGATAGAGTGGGAGGGAGAGAGAGGGGGGAGGGGAGGAGGTGAGAGAGAGAGAGAGAGAAACATCGACATGAAAGGGACACATCAAGTGGCTGCCACCCACACAACCAACCAGGGCCAGGAACAAACTGCAACTGAGGTTTGTGCTCTTAGCGGAAACCGAACCCGGGTCTCTCTGGACTGCAGGTCGACGCTCTAACCGCTGAGCCAAACCGGCCAGGGCCCAGAGCAATTTTTTTTTAGTTAGATACTAACCCGAGGGCCACTGTCATTGGCCCCACCTATACTGTAGCACAAATCAAATCTGCAGCTGCTTCCTTTCTTCCTACCAAAAGCATCAAAGCTCAGAGCAGCAAGCTCCTTGGAAGCAGAAAGTCCAGAGGCCCAGGAAAGGTGGCACTAGCTCCTGACCTGCAGTAACCAAGTGTGGACGCAGGGGAAGCCACCTAAAAGGTTGACTAGGAGTGGCTTAGCGGTTTTCCTCTTCTTTAACTTGGGCAAATCACCGATTTTGAGCCTCTCATTCCACTCCCATTCCTAGAATGAAAAAGTGTATCTGAAAAATTCTCAGTCCTTACTGTCACTATACTCCTGTCTTACAATATCCTGAAGGAGAACAGCATTCTCCTTAACTCTCTACTGAAAGCTAAACTGAAGGGGATCCTATGAACAAGTCAGGTGGCCAACATGATGATGGCAACTTCAGCAACATATAACTGGGTTGACGGGAAAGTGTCAGGAAGAGAGAGTGAGCATCTTTGCTAGTCACACCCTGGTATGAATAGTCTAGTGTTCTTCGTCAGATGAAAGGCCTTCAATCTCATCTCTGTCTCCCCCAATTGCCATCCAGAACGCTTTGGCAACCTGTGGAGAGGAACATGGGATACATTTTAGCCAAGAGCTAAACTGCAGCTCATTTTAGGTCCTACTTTGAACTGATTAAGACCTAAAATTCTACACCTTGCCCTCCAACCCTCTGGCAACATTACCAAAAGCCTTGACTATCCCAACCCAGGCCTTCCACTTCTAGAAAGTTATACTCAGGATATAATCGGAGGTGTATACAATGGAGATGTGTTAACGATAGGCACAGCTTCACTATTTATAGAAGCAAAAATTGCACATGACTTAATTGTCCAAAAGGGAACTGGATAAATTCACACAGTAGAATACTATAAATTATATATGTTTCCTGCCAAGAACACTTGTTAAATTGGTAATAACAAAACAAAATAACTAAGAGTTTTCCAGCCCAGTATTTAGGAAGGCAAACAGCCTGAGTCTCAGTGAAAGTTCCACATCACTCAGCATGCATCTAAAAAATCTTGGTTTGACTGCAGCAACCAGGTACTATTGTGTAAATATTCAGTTAGTTATAAGTTAAAATCCAATGGTAGTTCACACTAAGACACTTTAGAAGTAAAAAAGTATAATTAATAAGTAAGTGCTATAATTCTAACAGCACTGCACCTTTTGTAGGTACTCAACAAATACGTGACTGATTGTCTCACCTTTTCTGCATGCAACTTTCTTTGCTCATGAGGAAGCGTCGCAGCCTTGTCTAGGGGGAAAATATATCTTAAGAAATTCATCTAATAACACAAGAGAATCTGGAGTGTATGGATGTTCTGAAACTAGAAGGTGGAGGTGGGTGTCAAAGACATGTTTATGGTGTACTCATTAAAGCTGTTAGGAAGTTTAGGTCTTCCAAATTCTCCCAATAGGAATGATGGGAGTAAACTGGTAGGGATCTCACTGATTCCATATTAAAGAGACACACTGAAAGAAACAGAGGCAAGAGAAGAAGGGAAAATAAGAAGAAAGAGAACAAAGGAAGAGAAACTTTTCCCCAGGGAATTTTTACCACCAGTAGCTAAGTTTCTCAAGGTAGTTGAGATCAGAGCATGGAAGCTAATCAGCAGTTACAAAATGAAAGCCTACTATATAAAACTGAGGAGTATCAATATGGGAACATGTTAGACACAATGGATCCAATTACCTTTCATTTCCTTTAACTTTGAAAACAGTCTTTCAAAATTCTCCAAATCTCCTCCGCCCGTAGTAAGACTGGCTAATTCTTGAATATCCAGATCTAACATGGGATCTGAAATAAGGATATGTCACACTGTCACACATTATTTATATATGTGCTAAATACACAGAATCCTAAGACAATCACTCCTGGCTTTGATGAAAGTCACCACTGAGCGTGTCCTATGTACCAGCCTTCCAGCTCATGGTGCTTCACCGCCCCCTGCTTGGCTGCTAGGGGGCCCTCACAAATGAACAGTAACTATTTTATCCTTACAGCATTATATTGAGGCAAGGCACAGTTTCTGTTTTAGAGATGAGAAAACTAGAGCTCAGTGTTGAAGTGACTTGCTCAAGGTCACAGCTAGTAAGTGTGACCTTGGATTCAGACTTAGGTGTTTCCAACTCTATAGGCCACACTCTCCACTAAGGTAGGTACACTGATTCAGCAATAAATGCCTGAAATGTATACCATATTTTATTGTACAACATACATGTGCATATCTATTACTGACAACCATATAAGGTGGTTAGGACAGTTCACTGTTCACAATTTATACTTGAAGAAACCTGGGTTTAAAAATGAACTCACTTAAAATTACAGTTATTTAGAGTGAATGGGGGAAGAGGAGTGGAAATAACTTTAGTAACGAAAGAGGAGAGAAACAAGGAGTTGAAGTGTTTTATGCCTCTTGGTTTGGCTTCTCCTTCTTAAAAATATTTTGAAATAATTTTCGTCTTACAAAAAGTTCCAAAGCCCCAGACAGGTGCCTCAGTTGGTTGAAGCATCGTCCTATACACCAAAAGGTTTTGGGTTTGATTACAATCAGGGCATATACCTAGGTTGTGGGCTCAGCCTCCATTAGGGCACATACAGGAGGCAACTGATCAATGTTTCTCTCTCACATTGATGTTTCTCTTTCTTATCCTCTCTCTTTCTTGCTCTCTCTCAAAATCAATAAACATATATCCTCAGGTGAGGATTAAAAAAAAAGTTGCAAAATAGTATATGCTCTTCACCGACCTTCCCTTAATGTTAACACCTTATATAACCACATTGCAATTATAAACATCAAGAAGTTAATAATGGTGTAGGGTTAAAAATCCTTTTCTCTGTTCCAGAATCCTACACAGAATTGAGCTGTCAAATCTCCTTATTCTTCTCCAGTTTCTGACAGGCTCTGAGTCTTTCCTTGTCTTTTATGACTTAGACACTTTTGAAGAGTCCTGGTCAGTTATTTTGTATTATATCCCTCAATTTGGGTTTGTCTAATGTTTCCTTATTACTAGATTGAGTTTATGCACCTTTGGCAAAAACAGCACAAAAGTGAGTGCCCATTCAGTTCATCTCAGGGGGAGATGATGTCAATATGTCTTATTACTGGTGAAGTCATTTGCATCACTTGAATTAGTATCTGCCAGGTTTTTCTAATATAAAGTTACTATTTTCCTCTTTGTAATAAACATCTTAGGAAAAATGCTTTTAAACTATGCAAATGTAGTGTTTCTTCTCAAATTTTCATCTACTAATTTTAACGTCCACCAGTGTATCTGGCCTGCAACAACTATCACTGTGGTGTGTGACTAATGGGGATTTTCTATTTCCCTCATTCCTTCTACATTTACTAACTGGAATTCTTCTGTAAGGAGGAGCAGCCTTTTCTCTTCCAGTTTTTGTTTTGTTTATTCAATTATTTATTTATATTAGTATGAATTCACGAATATTTATTTTATTCCAGAGTAATAACCCAATATTCTATTACATTTATTTTGCTGGTCAAATTGTTTCCATCTTAGCTCTTTCAGGTTGGTTCCTCTGCTTTTGCAATGCCCCCATTCTTTTCTGAGCACTTTCTTACTTTCTGGCCACATGAGATGCTCCAGGTTTATCCTGCATTTTTCTCCCTAGCCCCGAGATCACCCACTTCTCCAAGTACCTTTGGGGAGAATGGTATTTAGAAAGCAAGATGTAAGTTCTAAGTGTGCCCATTGCTACTGGATTATCGCTGCTTCTAGGCCCTCTCAGTGGACAGAGCCAGGAGACAGATATATGCTAACACATGCACACACAAACCTGTATTTCTCTATTGCTCTAACAATACATATACTTTTACGAACCATGTGTTCATGTCGATACCATCAACTTCAGTCTAGTACCAAATGGTTTATTCTAGCCTTCCTCTTTCCTTATTTGTAACTTTTTTCTCTGACAATGAGAAACCTAGCTTCCTTATGTACACTATATTTTCTTAATTTTTCAACCATAATATAAATATATATAATTTCAGAAATTTCTAACCCATATCTCTATGAGAATCAAATTTATTAAGCAAAGCGCAGTATTTCTGTTCGGTTCTTTTTGTTTTTAGACTTATGGTCTCCAGTCAGAATACTGTTTTTCCAAGTTACTTAGGTTAGTTCTTATCTCCCCCACTTTCTTCAGTGTGGTTAATGGTTTGTTTTCATAAAAAGGACTTTGGCAGGCTTAAAAGCCAGTTGAAATTAATATAATGCTGTATGTCAATTATATCTCAGTTTTTAAAAAGCCTATAGAGTCAACTAAAAAGACAAGACTGAATTTAAACTAGAGAGGAGAGAGATTACATGAGTTTTTTTCTTCTTAATATGTTTCTATAACCAATCGAGTTTTCTACATGGATTATTTTATCATCAGGAAAAAATGGTTTTAAAAATATATCACTGTACATGGACCCTCCGTGGCATAAAGAGAAAGTAGAGATGTCAGTAGTTCCCTGACAGAAGAACATTTACAGTTATTTCAACTAAGCTCCTTGGCTTTTGGGCAGCGGACTGGACTCTAGTTTCAGTTCCAGGACCTTCTTATTAGATACCCTTGGACGAGTTGCTGAACTGCTTTGGGCCTCACTGTCATCTCCATAAAATAACTTCTCTGCCAAACTTCATTACCAAGTTAGAAAGTGGATATAAAAGAACGTTAAAAAGAACGTGAAAGGGCTTATAAAGTTGTATTATTCTTGGTACCATCAATTCTGAGTACTGTTAAATACTATGAAAAAAAGGTGTACTGTGGAGATATAAAGCTGTTTCACTACCTGGTCCTGTCTGTTTTAGCTGAGATGATCTGAATCAAGAGCCTGCTAAGAGAATCAGAGAGAAAAATAAAACCTACAGATTTGTAATGTATTTATTCTCCCTCCTTTTTCTGATAGCCATTGCAAGGCTCACATTAATTTGGGGAACACTGTCAATATTTCCCCCTGTCCATATATAAAGTCAATTTCCCCCGGATAATTTATTCTCTGATACATTGGCTAGTCCAAGTCCCACAGAGCTATCTCTTGGCAGCCAAAGGAGGAACTTACCCACAATGCTGTCAACCTGAGCGTCTGCTGTGTTAGCTGCACCACCCCGATGATCCAAGAGGGATTCAGTCCTATCTGTTGCTGGCAAATGGGGCTGCTGTTGAGGAAAATACACACAAGTAATAATTTAATAGTAGGCTACTTCAGAACTAAATCCAAAAGGCTCACACTTCCACCCACTGGCTGTCTTTAGAGAAGCAGTAGTAGGAGCTAGAGGCAAGGAGAGATGGAAGAAGATTCAACATCACATGAAAAAATAAACAGCTAAAAATTCACTAACTCGGGAGTATTTTCCCTCAAGGAAAAATTAGAAAGTGTCATGATTTTGCTACTGACTATGAAAACATGTTTGTTTTGTTTAAGATCCATGTGAAAATGAACATGATCATATCACAAACAGCTCAGAGACTGATGAAAAAGATGCCAGAAAGACAGTGTGGCACTGTCTCCTGTGCCCATGGTTCCAGCATGGCGACCACGGTAAACTCGGACCAAAGTTCTTGAGGACAGAGGGTTGAAATCAGCCTATCTTAAGCTCTTTGAGGCCAAGGACCTTGCCTCAGACTTGTACAGGGCCTTGTGCATGGGAAGTACTAACAAAGAACCAACACTTTTATATTTAAAGATCTGGAGACAACTTTATGCCTCAAGGAAATCCTAACACTTTTTAAAAAGCACTCTAGCAAGAAAATATGAAACAACCCAAATTGTAAACATCTTGAAAGGGCTCACTGCTCTGATGCTGAACCAGCCTTCTCTCAACAGGTACCAGGCACAAAAGGACTGTTTTAGAGTCTCCTTTTATCTATTTTTAATATTCTCTGTCACTTCTTAAATGGAAAGGAAAAAATAATAAATAATGTAAAGATTAATAATGACAAGGATAAATTAAAGCCAAAGAGGATAAAAGACAAAGGAAAAACCTGTACCTCTGAGTGACAGGTGTCTGCTGACCCAATGCTATGGTTTGCTCCGCCCAATGAGCTGAGAAGGCCAAAGCCTTGGTTCCTATCTGAAAAGAAAAAAATACAATCACTGAACATTTTAATTTACATTTTAAGTTGTTAAAATGACTGTGATGATGAAACAATGGTTATTCCCTCATTATGAAAGTTCTAACTGTAAAGCATAGTTACTACCAATTACTATACTCTAAACCCTGAATAATTTTCAAAAATCATAGTATTAACCCAGGTCAAATATAATGGCAGAACTATTATAACAAATCTTCTGTTTGCAAAGATTAACAGCACTGGTGTTTTAATAGTCACTATGAACTAATAATATTCCAGTGTTTTAAACTAAAGGGGAACATGCATGCTTTTTTGAAATAGAGCTCTAATTTCAATATAAATGGGCCACTTGCAATTAAGGCTCCCGATATCTGTATTTACAATGGAGAAGATGTTAAATTTACAATGGAGGAGAAATCTAGAGCAGAACACCCAGAGCTGATGAAAGTAAAGCCATCAGTCCTGAGCTGATAGTGTTCCCCAAAATCACCTGGGCATTTATCACACTACCCCAGTGTTCAGTAGGCAGTACTCTCCCTACTTCAGACTAGGGCAGAATCCCTGAGACAGAGGCCAAGGAATGTGAATTTTTGCCAAGGACTCCAGGAGAGTGTCAGAATCGGGGAAACTGAAAACAAAACAAAACAAAACGAAACACTGCCGCAGAGTAGAACGTGAAACCCACATCTCAGGAGTCTAACAGCATAGAAGTCAAAGAACTCTCTTGGAAAAACAACGTCCTCCCACCTTGCCTTTCCTCTCCCTGTCTCTTCCTGCACCCATTCTCCTCTCAGTCTGAACCACCGACAAACGTCCTACGTCCTCTCCCCTGCCAGGTGAAACCTGTTGTCAGACACTCAGTCACACAGAGCCATCAAAGAGCCACTTGCAGTCTCAGTCCTCCTTCCTTTCGCTTTGGGAGAGTTGCCTTTTAAACTGGGGTGAAGCAGTTTGAGGCATGCTGGGTCTAGGCTGCAGCCCACTCCAGCCTGACCTCTCACCCCGCGGGCAGCTGCCTCGCCTCCTTACTGCACGTGCTATCAGCCCAGTACCTTGGCTGTGAAGGCTTCAGTCCTGAAAGCCTGCTGCTGCCCTGCCGCCTTTCCTGCTCCACAACCCCAAGGGTGGCAGCAGGGCCGCAGGTGCACGTGCACTCCTGGAGCCCCTTTCACCTCCTCATCCGATCGATCGGCGAGGAACTCTCCAGGCCAAATGCCTAGGTGTGCCCATCCAAGGATCAAGCACTGAGGTTTCATGAGGTAGGCAGAGGAGGCTCAGAGGCTGAGGAGCAGATCCATGCGGTGTCCCACACTGACGGTTTCGCAGAGACTGGGGAAGTTTATTCAAATATCAACATAATTCTTCCTTTTTTGGCCAATGTGTTATAGACTTCACAGCAGTTGTATGCAATTTTGTAACACTCAGGGAGTTCACATGTCATGAGGACACACGAGGGCCCTTATAAAATACTCAGGCTCTTTGTACAAAAGGCATCATAGAGTAATAGTGTACCGCTGTAAGAGAGCACTTACTTCTATTACTGGAAATAACTTGCACTTAGGGTAATTTTCCAATCCAATTCACAAATCTCTCCATACTCCAATTCCACAGCTTATGTTTTTCCTCTGTTGGGCAGTACCTAAACTTGGCAGGCCAGACGGCAATCCATGAAGTATAATGCAATAATGTCTGCTTGCACATGATACTAGACCAGAGCAGTCTATTTAAAATGCCTCATTCTCGAGTGACTGCCTCCAAGGAGGGGATCTAGGATGGACAGGGTTAGAAGGAGCTAGACTCATCACTGTACACTGTAAACCTCTGTGTACCTTCTGACTTTCATTTCATGTTCATGTGTTTACCTAGTCAAAGATACTTGTTTCTAATTTAATGATTATGTGCTAAGTGTATTTTACCACAATGAAAAAATGAATGCCCCAATTTTTCAAAATAATGAAAAAGTCAGAAGAGTGAGAAGCACACTGGGCTAGGCTAGAGCCTGGATTTCCTTCCTGGCTCTGCCTACAGTGCGATCTTAGACAAATTAATCAATTTTCTGTGCCTCAATTTTCTGTCCTATAATATAAGAGGTTTACTATACATGGTTGTTAAAGTCCATTCAGCTCTGGAAGTTTGTGATTTTATAAAGGGGCATTCTTTATATTCTCTCAACATTAACTTGCTGGGCATAGATATTTTTAAAAATTACTTAATAGACAGAAGAACAAGAACCTTAAATTTCAGAATCCTTTTAGGGTTCATAGATGAGTATAAGTTCATAATCAGGTTTCAGGCTACTTAAAATTAGCTGGAAGAACTTTTGCTCAGTATTTTCTTATATACAACAGAGGATTTAGTCAACTAACAAGAGTTCATTCACTATGTTCCTACTGCTTATATTTTAAGGAAGTTAGAAACATATAAATTTTCACAATTAGTAAAACAATCCATTTTTGTTTATCCAAAGCTGATCGCTTGCACGTTAATATTGCTCAAAAATCTTAGATTTCACTTTATACATCTACAATTTTCAGGAAACCCTCAGTTTTCCTAGTCCAGCGTTTAGCCGAATTCTGCCCGTGTGCACCCACTGTGACACTCTTCTCCTTATAGAAAAGGATTACACAAATCTGTCCTTGTTTGCCAGATTTTTCACCGCAGAATTCAGGCATGGAAATGTCATCCCTATTAAGAAGGATTTATTATTTTAGCAGGTAGTTGTTGAAATTGGCTTTAGTATCTCTGGTTTTATTGATGCCACAAAATACTAGACTAGGAAGGAATAAATTAATCCACCTACTCATTGATTCTTCTGGAACCTCAGAGCTGTAGAATGGGGAAGTTGTTAAGTAAGTTATTCTGAAAGGCAGAGCAAGTATATTAAACTCTGGTTATAAAAACATCTGATTCAGCTACAGCAGACTAGTAAATTGGCACCAGTGTAATAACAGATAAAAATGACAGTATCATGGAAAAAAAAAAATCCAGTGGTACTGGTCATAAGCATAGAATTTGTCCAGGAAGTGTCAGAAACAAAACTACAGCTTCTAGAATAAAGATTTGAAATGAAAATTCTTAAACCTTGGTATAAGCTTTTATTATTTTTAATAAGTTTCAAAAAAATTAGAAATATATGAAATTATGTGCATATCTTTTTACAAATCTAAAGCACATTGTTATTTTAGAAACAAAATTCATTTCACATAGCAAAGTTGATATGCATTCCATGAGACATTTAGAGAATTAAAAACTGAGGCAAAGGGGAAATTTTAGTATGGGGAAAGGGCAAAGTCATTCTAAAAAAAGCATTTCTTCCTTCTAATTTTTCTTCTCTTTTCCACTATTTTATCAAGGCAATATGATAAGCATATGAATTTGGAGATAAATAAAGGCACAGATTTGAATCCTAGTTCTACTACTTACTGTGTGGTCTTATACAAGTCATGCCCTCTCTGTACCTGTTTCTACGTTTACGCAGAGGGTATAATGTTACTTTCCTTGCAGAACTATTTTAAGGGTTAATAATCATTAATAGCTAACATTTACTGACTACTAACTACAGGCAAAAGTAGGTTTACAGTTGTTCATGTGAAAAATAATACAATAATTAATAATTTAAGAATAAACTCTTGTTTTGTGTATTTACAACTGTAAAGCTACTTTTGCCACACCCTGTATGTGCAAGCTAACATTCTCAGTACCAAACATACAATGCTTATTTAATCCTCACAACAACCAAAATATGCCTTCTACACACAAATATACACAAACAGAAATCAACTTTTATCTCAATTTTGTTATCTTCTTTACAGAGGATTTATTTGATTTTTTAACGGAATAAACTAAACTATAACTCAGAGAAATTAAGTAACATGTCCAAAGACACATAGCTAGAACCTGAACATGAAATCCAGAACTCTCTGATTCTAAATTCCTCTTGCCATTAAGCCCAGAGGTAACAGGTAAAGAATAAAAGTTGAGACAGTTCAATGCTTAATATACAAACACTGGATATGACACAAACTTGGGTCAAATGCAAAAATACATCTTTTTATTCACATATACCATAGTTCTCTTTTGTCAGTAATCCTTCATTATGTCCCTGGTTTAATTATACCACTTTGTGCTTCTCATTAATCCCAACCCAGTCCCATAACTCCTGACGGCATTAGTCACATAAAACTAGTGGCAGACATTTGAGGTTTTGTTGTGTGTGTATGAGGGTGGCAGGGAGTGTCCTGTGAATCTCTGCCTATGCCCACCAAATGCCTACAGCACTATCAGATGTCCCCAGAGTTGGGGGTGGGGAAAACACAAAATTACCACCAACTGAGAACCACTGATACAAATCTACTAGTGAGGACAGGAAATTTGGGGCTAAAATTCTCAGGTTTTAAGTAGTTTCTTGAAAATATTTTCAATGAAAAAAGAGTAATAACATTTAAGAGATTCCATCTTTCCTCCTGTCAACATTATAAATACCTTCCCCCTACTCTGGAATGATTTTAGCTCACAATCACTTCTCCCTCAGTGCCATTTGCCTTTTTTGTCCTAACTATTCAATTAGGCCTTGAGAGAAATGCTTGTACAAATACCTGTCTGAAGTCTATCTGCCATCCTTAACTGTATTAGGAAGTCCTTGCACACAGACGATAGCTAAGTGTTCTTCTACCTTCCACAGCTCCCAGCAGTGTTAAGTATATAGCAGAGATGCTGAAATACCCGTTGACGGCCTCATAGGAGGGAGGCTGCAAGCATTAGCTAAACAGAGTTTTTACTTCAAAAGTATATATACTGATTACAATATTAAGAATTTCCATAAACAGAGCCCTAAAATGCCTTAGAGGACATGTTATATATTTTCTGTGTTCATAGTTCAGCTTTTATTTCTTTAAAGCCACAATTATCTGGCATCATCTTAAGAAGTTCAAGTTTTCCTCTTTTTTTAAAAAAAATCCCATTTCTCTCCCCACAAAATATGTTCTTTTTCACCCATGTG